TATTCATGTCTTTATAAGAGATATGGAATCTAAGGACAATATCAAGTTGATCTCAAATATTAATTGATATATAAGGACACACTACTTAGAGGATTAACAACATGATAGTATCCATTAGCTCATTATTTTTCTACAAATCTAATAAGTCCATCACCTTCAAGTTGTTGGATACCAAAAAATATCTACAAAACTATCACAAGGGCTAATTATAAATGTAGATAACATGAATACCTATAACTTTTAACTAGCATTCTAATCATTTAAATAGTGACTTTTATGACATAAAAATATAATTCATAAAGCTTCATGATGAATCCACAACAAGTAAGACAATTAAAGAATCTATTGCAAAATCTTTTTTTTGTGAAAATAGAGCAAAATGTAATGTAGATTGCAATTATTTTATAAAGAAGGATAAATTAAATTCCAAACAATGGTCAAGCAAAGTAGTCTCAAAAATTAAATAGAGAAGGTTCTACTACTACTACATTTAATTTAGCAAACATGTTCAATTACCATACTTTTGATATTATGATCTCATTAGAAATTAAAGCTAAAACTAAAGATAATCTTTCAAACCACTAAAAGAACCTTAAGCATTGGACATACTTTTTAGATCCAAGAGCAAGTTCATGGTATGACTAGAAATGACAAGCAAGGCTAAACTTAGTTTTCTATTTTAAATTATACAAAACTCATTCCTATTGATCTAAACTAATGTCATATACAAAATTGTGCAATAGAAGACGGTATTATAACTTTTTTTTGATAATTGCATTGCTAAAAATTTTAAAATCATCTTAATATTTTATGTAAATTTAAATTGGGTCTTTAACTAGAATTTATGATTATTAAAATAAAATACATCTTTTTAGTCATATTGTATGCTTTGAATATACTTGATGTTGGGAATTATAATAAGATTCTTTATTGATCATGACATCAAATATTTATAAATTTAGTATTTTCATAATCTATTTCTCATGCAAACTACAAAGATTGTCTTAATTTTCCACAATTTGCCTCTCACTATAATATCTCAAAAGCCATATTTTAAAAGGCTAGACATGATTTACCATGGAAATTGTTACTTTTAATCAAAGATAACTTATGCAAAGGAGCCAAAGTCCCTAGCTTTGTTTCAGATGGCCTAATGAATTGAGTCGGCTTTATAGCTAGAAGAGACTTTGTACTAATTAAAGTATAAGAAGGAGGCTCAAAAATCTCCCTTATCTTTTGATGTCAGCCATGCATGCTAATATATAAGTTGCATGCCTTTTTCTTCTATTTTTCTTTAGATACTCTTCTACAATCACTTGTCGTATATTCTTTATCCATATATTACGGTGCCAAGATATTTTTGTAGCTTTCTTCAACACTAATATCTTCCTTCAATGCATGTGTCTCTAGCTCTTTGTTACTAATATCAAAAATTTCTAAAGAAGACATGACTTCTTTTTGGCTATTCAATTTGAAGGAAATTTAACCAAATTTGCTATAGGAGACTCTAATTTTGAAGCTTTCACAATAATATTGACCAAATTCTTCCAACTTCTTTTCTATAATTATATAAATGAATGTCTTTTCTTTAAAGGATGTTAAGGTGGTTGTGACCTTTTTGGTCGTGTTTTTCTATCCAACAACACTTTAGGATGCTAACAATTGTCAGATGCTACAATTTTCTTTACAAACACTTAATTTCTTACTGAAGAGATTTTTTTGCCATCTAGTTTTACTTTCTCATCCTAATGACTTAGGTCTCTATTGCTAAGATGGTCAAAAGATACACTAATTGCCAAGATGTTGCTAAGCTTTTCTAATTTTTCCTATAGAAAATGCTTCTGATTCAAATTCATCTCACATTCTCCAATCTTTATGTCACTTCTACCTTCTTCATCTAATTTCATAAGACATTTTGTTACATGAGGGATTTTCTCCATCTTTTGATTTTTGAGCTATCTTAAAGCTCTCAATGGCTTTCACATCAATTGTTGTTTAACAACCTATTCAATCATCTCTTCACTCGTACTTTCATTCTTCTCAAACTTTTCTAAAATTCTACCTACAATCAACTTCACATCTACCTAAACTTTTCTGTGTACCATAGAAATTACATCATCTTCGCAACCATCACTTTGGATCCTCATTTTAAGCCATCTCATCAGTTGAATTCTATGAATGCATTGGCTTCAAATCTTGACAAAAGCATTCATCTTACCTATCATCTTGACAAAAGCATTCATCTTACCTATCATCTTGACAAAAGCATTCATCTTACCTATCATCTTGACAAAAGCATTCATCTTATCTATCATCTTGACAAAAGCATTCATCTCTTTGGCACTCTCTGGTACTTTATTGTCTCATTTCCTCCTTGTAGAATTCTTCCTTTGCCTTGTTTGAATACTTTCACCAATGTTTGGATATTTTCTAAGGAAATTGTATCTAATTGAAGATAGTTTTAAGTTGTTTTATTTATTTATTTATTTATTTTAAAATAATTAAAATTATAAATATTTCTATTCTAATATTTTGTATATAGTTATAATGTATGCATAAGGCCCTAATTATCCTATGTAGCCATGTAGTATTCAAAGCCATTAATATTGAGGGAAAAAATGCCTTTGAAAAAAATTTACATATCACTTTGTGATTGCTTTTTCTAGTGCTTTTTATGACTCCCCTTCTAAACCACCAAGGTTTGTGCCCTATAACATGTAAATTTATTTATCTTTAAATAATAAAAAATAAAAAATAGAGATTCAATGTATATAAATACTTTTATTGAATCATGAGAGAAGAAATCTTATTTTATTCATTGAATCTTTAATATTAAAGCTTTTATAAACCAATAAGATGTCTTTTGTAGCTTTCTTTAAGGATATTTATAATATGCAAAAACAAAAATAGATGATTAATTTTTTGATATATCAAGATAGTAGTCTTTTGTATGAAATATTGAATTAGAAAAGAATGGTCCATCAAAAACAGCTTGAGTCCAACAATCTTTTTATATTACATATAGACAAGTGATGTGTTTTTTGTTTTAAAAGCACGAAGGTCATGTCAAAAAATATCTATCTAATTTGATACTTTATAGAATTATCTCTATACAATACTACAATATATATACATACACATGTTAATTTTTAAAAATATCCAGATTTAAAATCAACTATTTGTTTTCTTTGAATGGTTATTATTTTATGAAATAACTTACTAAAAAATTAAACATGTGTAATTTTAACAAGATTTATTGTATTAAAATATTTCTACTTAAAAAATAGTATATATATATATATATATATATATATATATATTCTTATAAAAAATATGTTATAAATTCATAAATATGTAATTTAATTGTTTACATTAACAAAGTTGTTTTGATGAAGGCCCATCATTATACATTTAATATGCATGTATATATATATATATATATATAATATTATATTAATACTATCACTATAATTTTTGTTATTCCTACCAAAACTTACCATTTATAATATACCATATATATGCTTTGTCAATGATATTATTAAAAATAAGTTTTTTTTATACTAATATTAAGAAATGATATTAAAAATATTTACAAAAAAAATTGTTGGAATAAAAAAAACTGAGGAAATATATCAAGTGAATAACAATGGTAATAGCAAAAATTATAATAAAATTAGCATTTCTCTCTCTCTCTCTCTCTCTCTCTCTCTCTCTCTCTTTATATATGTATATATAAATACATTTTATATGTATAAAATCACATTTTAAATCTATTTTCTATCAAACAGTACTAAAAATTCTAAGATATATTTTTCAAAAGTTGAAGATAAAATCAAAGAACTTATCAAATTCAAAGTTGTATAACTAAGCTATTTTTCAAATAATTGTTATTGCTAAGTTGCTCTAAAGCTAGATTTATTGATATTTTTAATTATAATTAATATATATGAAGGTGGATATGCAATAGTAGAATTTTATATATATATATATATATATATATATATTTCTTTTCTAGCATAAAACTATTGATAAGGAATTTCCAATGTTAAGATTTGAACCATTGACCTCTTTAAACCATCTTTACAATACCATCAAATGATTAGTCTTTTCTATTTAAATGGATGGATGCTTGCCTCAAACCTTCATCCAATGATAGAATTTTATTTCATATTTTACTTATTGTTATATGGTTATATATTTTTTAATTATATATAAAATTATAAATAAATAAAATATTAAGTTAATCCCAACTTTTACTAAATCAACCTACCTATCAAAACTATCATTATATCTCCTTGTGTCTTGTCCCTATTTACGTTCTTAGCACATGTGCCACATCTCAACATCCCTCTCTTTCTCTCTTCGTATCCTCCCCCCTTATCTTTGTTCTTAGTCTTTCTTCCTTGTTCCTTATTGCATATCATTGTAAATAGTAATAACAATCTTGAACAAAGATGTTTTTTATAAAATTATTTTGGGACTAAATGTTGATGATATAAATGTTTATAAAATGTTGATGATATTATATTGTTATCTTCTAATTGCAATTAAAAAATAATACATCTTGTTTTAATTGAAACACTGTTGGATTACTTGATTGTGTTTTGTATACCTATAGAACCTATTGAAATAGACATCATGTATAAAATCCATTGATAAAGGCTTTGAGGTTTAGGATTGGTTTCTCAAGTAAGAAACATAAATTGTTTTGAAAGTTGTATATCTTTTTCTATAAAATGGGAATGGGCATTGGAAACAAGAACAAGGGATGGATGTTAGGAAGAAGAATGGAAACAAGTGAATGTAAGGATGGGTTTGATATGTGGGTTGATTTAGTAAAAGCTTGAGTAAATTTTACATTCTTCTAAATAAAACCACATGAACAAAAAAGCACAATAATAAGAGATAGAGGGAGGGAGAGAAGGTGGCTTCGACGAACTCAACGGTCCGCATCAGCCATAGCCAGACGAGCAGAGGCAGGAACTACAAATGACGGGTACAGTGGCTATGGCGGGAGCACTTTAAAACCCAAGTACCCTCCACTAGCGCTCTTTTCCTGCGCCTGCTCCCGCCCGAAGATCTGCACTCGGTGTGCGAGCGCGCAGTGTGCGTTACATTCTGGAATTTGTGGTTTCGTTGGTCCTCAGATGTGATGACACTTTCTTAGTATTGTGTCGAGGAGCTCGGCGCAAGGGTTTCCGCATTCCTTGCAATTGCCACGCATTGAGATGTAGTCAATCACGCGAGATTGTTGTGCTTGGATTACGCTCGCGGTGAGTGGCACGAGAGTCTAGGGTTTCGATGAGGTTTCCTGTTGGATGCTGGACGTTGTGACTTGGTCGCGGAGAGCGTTGTGTTGCAGCGTTGGTAGAAGCAATGCTCTAGGGTGTGTACCTGAAATATTTTGTTGATTCCTCTTTCTTTTCTCTGTTTTTCTTTTTGTCTTTTTTCTTGTTTTGGCTTTCCTGTATGCAAGTCCGTTTTTCTACTCTGTGCGTACAGATTTATTCGTTACGGATCGATAGTGTCTTGAACTTGAGCAGTGAAAGGGGTTTGTGCTTGCAGTTTTCATGTGTTTCTTTTTCCGTGGTAGCAAAGTTTATTGGTTTTCTGCGCAGGGGCTACGTTTCAATACTGCTTGAATGCAAAGGACTTCGCAATTTGTAGCTCAATCAGGGTTTGGTCGCTGGGCTACAGAGGACTGGCTGTGGCCGGACTAGAGATCGTATATGTCGGCTCCGAGGAAATATCATTACATTGACAAGGGCAAGGTGGAGTGCTTAGTAATTTCTGATGAAGTATCAGCATGTGTACCATGTGGTGGATCATCATGGTTTAAACTTTATTTTACGGAATGACTTATAGAGGTTCTTATAGCACCGCACGGCGCGCGTGCGTGAAGGCGCGTTTCGGGTTCTAGCGTTGATGCGAACGAGGGAGTTTCAGCGTATTGAATGCTGTGCTATTTATCCGAAGATACTGGAGCTGCAGGTTGACATCTGACGGAATCTTAAGGAACTGCTGCAGGCATTTGCCGTTTCACACCTTATTTTCCCAGAGTTGAATATACGTGACGGAGTGATCAATATTTGATTCTGGATTAGATAGCTTCACGCGGACATGGCGATGGTGACTGAACCAGCTACGCGGAAGCGGGTGATTAGCATGCCGCAGTCAGAGAGAAATCCCTCTTGGATGAATAGTCCGTTTGTTCCCTTTACTCCTTTTGGGTTGGCCAATAGGTCCGAGATCACTCCTCCTTTTGAGAAAAGACTAAGAATTGTAGAAAGACCTGTATCCACCTTCAAGTGGGAACCGGATCTGCCTGGGACTCTGCAGTTTTCGGCTGGAAGTGGTTACAAGGATATTGAAGTGAAAACACCGTTGCCTGCAGCTTGGCAGTGGCGTCCATCACAAAGAGTATCTCAGGATTTGTTCACCCCTCCTGCTGTCAAACATTCAGGAGAGAAGTACGAGCTTGTTAAAAAAGAACTGAAAGAGCGTAATTCGTGGTTCGCAAAACTTGATCGCTCGATAGGGTTAGCTGAAAATGCCCTTGATATGGTAGGAAGTCCAGCTATGGGTCTAAAACTCACTTTAGCACCCACTGAATCATACTATCAGAAATATGTAAACGTAAAACGCGAGTTGGAGGATTATAAACGTGTGGTGCAGACCGTGAACTCTTTTATTCCTCTTAGCTCCAGTAGCAATAGCGCACCATTTTCACCTTTGAAAAATATCAGACTACGAGGGAGCAATTTAAAACAGGGCCCAAGGAATCTGTACAATATGCAAAGAGAGGTTGCTGGTGAGCCCGGATGGAGTGGAAGTTTTTTGAATCATGGCATGCCGAATGGAGTTCTGCACAGAACCCTTACAGACGATGAGGCTGAACCTGGTAAAGTCGTTTCTCCACATTCTAGTGCCCAACTTACATCTGAATCAGGTGCACTGCAAGACCAGAGTGAAGTCCATGTGTCGAGGGATGATAGTAAAGCGGAGCTTTGGCGAGCACTCTATGATAGAACTCAAGATCCTGCAAAGCAAGCTCAAAGGGAGTCACGAGAAAAGGACATAGAAGATCTCCAGGATTTATATGCACGATTACAATTGAATCGAGAAGAGGATAGCATAAGACGACAACAAGAGCGTAAAGCAAGTAAAAAGGAAGAGGTGGTATGTCGTCGTCACCTTTGGCATTTGTGTAGTTTGGATTATTGCATATTTTGCCTCTGTCGGTAGTGATTTACTACATCATGTGTATTGAGTGTTTTTCTCAGTATGTCTCATCCTTGTTGCTCCCACTCTGAAGAAAATCCTGGGATCTTCATGCTTAGTATATTGTGCTGAAAATCAGTATTTTTGGTTACAAGTTTGAGTATACTCATGTTATTAGGTCCTCTAGAAATCAGCATAGTTCGGTAGGTAGTCTCAATTCTCTCTCCCACTCTCTCACATATACACCCAACAAAGTAAAATGAATGGCTATATTACTTAACGAGAATTAAAATGTTAAACTCTCAAGTTATGCGGTGTGCTAGATCAGCTTATGTTGAAGCTAAATTCAGGATTTGTGTGTTCTGTGTCATGAGTGCTCCCAACCGTACTTGAAATTCAGCAATAAACTGTGGAGATGTTTCTAAATTAATATATCTTTTCTTATGGTTTGTGCTGTCAGGGCGAAGCTTTTATTCCGTTGCCCATTGATGCCGAAGAGGCTGTGGAGGATGCTTTGTATAACGGCAACAGGTGCTTATTTCTACCATGGTGTTGCACTTTCTAGCAACGTGTACCCGAGTAAGCTATCTTTTTTAGTAGTCATCTGCTTTTGGATAATTTTTCTCTATTCTAATACTAAGTCGTCATCCGGCATGTATTCTGTCAACAGGCATGAGTTACTTATACTTCATGAAGAGACAAACATCGAGGTGACGAGAGCCATCATACAGTGTTTGGTACCGGGTGCATGGCTTAACGATGAAGTAAGTGATTTTAGCAACCAAATGTAATCACCTGTTACTGTACATTTGTCCCTAATTGGCTAGCCGGGTTCGACACAAGTGGTAATCTAATTCTTATGTGATGTTTTTACGGCACTTGTGTAGGTTATCAATGTTTATATGCAGCTTCTGAAAGAAAGGGAGAGTCGCAATCCAGACAAGTTTTTGAGATGTCATTTTTTCAACACTTTTTTTTACAACAAGGTATTTTCGTGTCTACAATAATTTTTTGCAGCATGCTGACAATATGTTGCTATGTTGCTTCATTCGGTACATCAGATGGGTTTTTCTTCGTTTATTCCATCGGAACTGACTGCTGTGGTTTTCATGCAGCTTTTCAAGGACAAACGTAGTTATGATTATAAATCAGTTCGAAGATGGACCACACAAAAGAAAATTGGTTACAGCCTTGCAGATTGTGATAAAGTACGTCTTCGTTCCCTCTTTGTCCAAGGTCACCTGGTGTGATATGTCAAGTAAAATATTTTCTCTGTTTGGGTGCACAAATGTATATATCTTTTATTATCATTATGATATATTTGATCTTTTTTTGGAACATGGTATATTTACAGCATATTTCTGTAAATAATTGTGTTCTGAAAAGAGTTTTGATTCGGTCAATATAATGATATTTTTATTTTACAGCTGTATGAATATGAAGTGGATAATGATTTTTCCATTTGTGCAGATTCTTGTCCCAATTCATCAAGACATTCACTGGTGCTTGGCAGTCATCAATATACGGGATCAGAAGTTTGAATATTTAGACTCATTGAAAGGTCGCGATGAGACTGTTCTTAAAGTACTTGTGAGTTTTCGCCCCACAAGCGGTTGATGTGTAATGTTATAATTTGTTGTACGTGAACACTAATATGAGAGAAACTAGGAAACATACTGCTTGGCCTCCGCGCTTCTATCATTTTGAGTATGATTTGAAAATATTCAAAAAAGAAACTTTCAGCTATTGATTATTGTCTGCATAAGTGTTGAGGTTGGTAATTTAGTAGTATGTTTATCCTATTGAAAGTTCGTTTGTTTGAGAGTAATAGGACGAGAAATGGTTGATAATGCATAGTGCAGATGGAGGCTGGCATGGAGTCTATGTTCGAGTATTATGTGATAAAGAAAGTGTTAGTTAGGCCTGTGAACCCTGTGGGATTGTTTTGGTCAGGCAAAATATTTAGTAGACGAGGTGAAGGATAAGAACAACCGTACTCTGGACGTAAGCAAATGGGAAAGCGATTTTCCGCAGGATATTCCGGAACAACTGAACGGGCATGTATTTGAAATCCTCTTCGTCAGAGTTGATGTATACGAAACACATATTATCATTAATGCGATTAATGTGTCTAAATTCGAGTCTGAGATTCTTCATCATATGATTTGACACGGGTATTTATTTTTGTGCTGCAGTTGTGACTGCGGAATGTTCATGCTGAAATATGCTGACTTTCATGGCCGGGGAGCTCCATTATCTTTCACTCAGGTCTTTAATACAACTTCAGCTATTTCATATACTTTCTGTGTTTGTCGCTCTTCAAATATGTTTTTCCTATTTGTCGTCAAACTAACTTCCAGTGGTACGGCTAGACGTACATTAGCCGTAGAAACTGTTCTGAATCTGACATTGTTTTTGGTGGCAGGAACATATGGAATATTTTCGGAGGAGGACAGTTTATGAAATATTACAGAATGAGGCAACATGACGGGCTAGGAGAGTGTAATAGCTTCGTGCAAAATGACCTCAAGTTCCTGCGCTTAGATGATATTCTGGTACGTGCAATGAATCATTTCTCGTGCGAGCAACTTTGTATTCTGTGAACATTCAGACCATGTGAGAGAACGATATATGACAGCGCGATTTTTGCCTAGTAATGAAAAAAAAAAAAAAAAAAAAAAAAAAAAAAAAAAATCATGTGCTTGACCATGCAGATGCAAAGACCTTGCCTAGCGGGGATGACAAGCTTTCGAAGGATGGAGGTAGAATGGTTGGGATACATTGTGTTAAGTACCTGCATGTCATGTACAAAAAAGTATACCATGTCATCATCCTTCAATTGTCGACTGTAGACCAAAACATCTGAATGCAACGTCTGAAGCATCTCTGAATCTGTACACCCTTCAGAGTTTTTTCGTACGAGATTTTCCTCCAGAACGCTCAGCGTCTGTTCTAGAAAGACGCCTCTTGTGAGGCCATTCATCAAACTTGGTTTCATTTACAAAGTATTTTTGAATTGAATGCATACTCGTGGGTTTTGAACAGTAGTAAGCTTATGAGTTGTGTAATATGCCGCTCATATGCAGGAACATTAATCAAAAATTGCATTTTTTATTTTTATTTTTTGGTTCAAATTTGAATTAGTTTATTAACGTGAAAAGCATAAGATCTTGAGTAAAGCGGTGAAAACAATATAAATACCTAAATCAACTTTACTTCGTAAAATAATCCAATAAATAAACCCATACGTTCAGGAATAGAATTAAATTAGTCAATTTTAGTTGACCAATATAAGCGCAGGACATAAACCCACTTGAATCTAACTTAAGTAAGATTGACATCTTCGATCTAAATCTACATTCGAAAAGCACAACAGCAATAAACTAAAACAATAAATAGTGGATAAAATAATTGATAAATATATTTTATCTGGTTTACTTTTTAATGCTTGAAATAATGTTCAATATAGATACGAAATATTTATTTATCGAGAAGAAATATATATATGCTGATATTTTCCGATGTTTACTATAATTTGGGGTAATTTGTCACATAAATTGAAACCAAGATGTTCTGAGAGAAATTAATTGTTTAGGGGATTATTTCTTAACAGAGCATTTCAACAACAAAACCAAATTTCATACATATCTCTTACAAAGGTGACAACATACAGTGTAGTCAAAGGATATGGCATGTGGCATTTTCTACAACGTTGAATATTTAACAAGAAAATGTACGTTGTTATAGGCATAAACAGGAACATAGGCTATTTGATTTGTTCTTCTGGATTTTATGTCACTATATTTTAATCAATGAATTTGTACACGAAGTTATTGGTATACTTTAGTTTGGTGAATTGTTTGATGATGTAGAACTAATATTAGGTTAATTTTGAGATTTGGGTTAATAATTACTGAAAGGATTGAATATGAAATGTAATGGAACTATCTATGCATACGATATGGTCTGAAAACTATTTCAATGGGAATGTAATTTTTTCAATTATGAACAGAATTGAAAAGTGTACAATAATATCTAAAATAATTTCAGACTAGTGAATATAACATCAGTGTTGTGCGAAACATGTTGTCGCTACTTCCGATGTAATTTGTTCGCAAATGTGCGTAAATGTACGATCGAACTTCGAAACTGTTCAAAAACAGTTTAGTAGGAATTTTCCGGATAGGTAATGGATTGTACTGGCGTACACGTTTCTTCACCTTTTCAGGAGTCTATCAGGCACTTTCTTCATTATAATAATTTTTGCTGCAAGGCACGATATCATTGTTACTCCACATTGCATTTAATGAATTCATCAAAAAATGCACATCTACGAGAAAGATTGTTTCACTGAATTTGAAGGACTACGATTGGAAGAATTTGAACTCTTAATAGTTTACATTCTCAAGTTCTGTCTAACAATGCTCTACACGCAACCTGCGGTTATTACTACATTAGGAATATACAACTTCTTTCCATTTTGATGAGTTTTTCCTGCAACTCAAGTTAAAAACAAATTAAGTATACTTGACATAACTGTGCAGAAGTTTCTCCCTACCCTATACCCACCTTTGAATGTGTATACGTAATCACCAGCTGAGAAATTTAGCAGGCCTCCTTTTCCAGGGGTTCAAGTGTCCACCAACAGTTCAGGGAAAGCTCAGCCTCGCTCGCAGTTGGAAAATAATACTCCATGCTCATCACTCCCCTCCTATCTGCTAACGATGACTTCATGAACGCTGCTACATTAATTAATCTAATAAGATGTGGTCTGCAGCAGTCAGTAGGTACTAACGTTGAACAAATAAACAAGTTGATACAGGTAGCAAGTCGTATATAGTGAATAAGGTGTATACTGGCAAAATTGTAACAAACAAAAAATTAACCAGAATTGTTCCAAATCATATCAAACAAAAATTCAAATCAAGCAAATTACAAACATAGCGATCCACGAAACCTGAACATTTAACGGAGGAGAAATGTGGAAAATAAAATATCCATATAGTTGAAGATCTCATGTCCAAGGTCTGCATCAAATGGTCACAAACCAGAAACCAAACATCCTTCAGAGATTCAACCGCCGCTCAGAAGTCCATGACAGATATGCCTGCATGTGAGTAAAATAATCATGAAAAAGCAAAATGGTTGTTTAAATAAAGTTGACGCTTTTGAAACGTGCTTGTAATGAGAGTTGCGAGAGTAACAATTGTTGGCATGCAGTAGGTACGCACGCACCCGCATTCTCAAACTTTGGAAAAGAAATAGGGTTTAGATAGCCTGTAGACTGACGATTATTGCGGCTTCGATCTTCAATGGATTTAAAATACTCCCCACATGCTCCAATTTCAACGAATATATGAACACTTCGTCAGCAGGACATTGTAAAGATTGGGTCACTACCACACAGAAGCATCTACAATGTTTGAACCTATGAACTATGTAGTGGTTCACAGAAAAAGAGAAGGGACCGAAGTAGAGTAGAAAAGGGTTTGAGTGAAACTCCTCTATGCAGATAGAAGCGCGTGCGAATATACTAATCGGGCTTGTCGACCCCAAGGCTGTTTACTAATGCCACTCCATAGCGTCGATTTTCCATATCATCGGTGTGTAAACAATAGCTGCCAACCAATTGCAGTTCACTGGTGAACGCATACACATGAAACAGACGCAATACTGGAACAGCGCGAACAAGTACCCAATTGACTGAAAGTGAAAACTGTAAGAAAAGGTTGCATATGCCCTGTCGTTTCGGACGGATTGGAGTTGCAAATTAAATGTCTCCACCGTCCCTTCATAATTAGCAAGTAACAAATGGATGGCTTCTTAAAGGAGAATGCCAATCACTGCAAACCAGAATCATCACAAATACATGAACCATTTCTGTGGAGAACGGGTCATAGAAATGAAGAAAGTCCGTAACAATTCGAAAGGGTGGGAGACTCCTGTGTGCAGGTTCAATCTTGAGCGAATTAAAATACTTCAAATGTCCAACGCACATTGCTCCAAGTGGTTACTTCGAATAAGTTGACGTCAACTACATTCATTAGCATGAAAATTAGGTCACTGGCGAATGCCCTTCCAGGGATAAACAAGAAATGACGGTGCTGACCCTTAACATCCAAAGAATTTAAGAGTTCCAGATTGCCTGTTGAATGAAGACATGCGAATTAATGCTGAAGTCAACTTTAAATACTCCAGATGGCATTCACAACCAACTTTTACTCCAAACCTGTCATCGAAACAGTTGAGGTTCTACAACGTTGTTATAGAAAACCATCATTAATAAATGACAGCGTTGAAGAATACGAACGGCTCATGATACAAAAAATAGCCAGAAAACGAGAAGTCAAAGTAAAGATAACAACTCCCATGTTCAGATTTCACCGGATCCAATTATTAATTGAATCCTCCAAAGAATCCATCCCAGTCTGGATAGTTTACTCCCCACGTGGTGTGAATCGCTCATTGAAATAGTACGTAGACATTCACTGTCACCCAGAGGGAGACTAAGGGTAAAAATCTATGCAGAGAATAAACACATCAAAAGAACAGCGCTAATACACAAAATTCCCAGAGAAAAGAGAGGGTTTCAGGTAGCCTGCGGGTTGACGACGCGTTCGATCTTAATCGGTAAATGAGTTAAACTTCTCCGTTCACCTTTCTCGTGCAGAGAAACTCTTAACCTCTACCTCCGGAGCAGAAGACTCTTCTCACTGCCAATCAAAACCATCAACAGTATGTAAACTAGTTCACTGCGAAGGATATTTCTGTCAATGGAGGGTCAAACAGAGTGCGATGGGGTTGCAAAAACTCCTGGGAGAAGACTGGTCGATGAGCGAATTAAAATACTCCAGAAACTCCATCCTGTTTTTCTCAAGAGAATCTCCACGACGAAAGTAGCTCCTTGAGCTGATGAGAAAACGTCCACTGTCAACCGCACGAGAAGCAGTGGTGAACGACTGAATAGGAAATCAGCACATCCAGCAAAACAGTGCCAGCATACACCCACAACCCATGAGAAAACGAAGGTCTCAGGAGCATGTCAACTGATGATTGACTTAATGTTGATCACGAGTTGAGTTAAAATTCTTCACCCTCCACAACCATCGGTTATCTGAGCACTTTAACTGCGGCATCAGCACGGATTTCGGCCACTGCCATACAGAATCATCAGAAATATTTGAACGACTTTCCTGTAGAATGTAGTTCTTTGTTTAATCATAGACTGAAAAACCTAACAGAGTGAAAGGTTACAAGAACTCCTGTATGAAGAAAACACCGTAAGCGAATTAAATAACTCCACATGCTCCACTTGGGGTTGCACGAGAAACCATCCATCCAGCGAAAATTTCCCATTCCGTCTTGATGTCGAGATTCACTGCCAATAAATTATAGTTCACTGGTGAACGGCTGTAGAAGACATGTGCATGAAATGAACAGCGCAAGCATGCACTCAATTCCGATGAAACTAAAGGGTTATGAAAAGCCTTAGGTTGACGATCTATTCGAGTTTGGTCTTCAACCGAATTAAAATACTCCACACGCTCGACTGTCAATATTTGATTTAGTATCTTTTCTTCAGATGCCGTTGGAGATCTGAATCACTGCCATTCAGGACCATCAATGACGCACAGACCAGTGGGAAGTGATTCGTCATTTAAAAACGATAAGTTTTAAACAAGGTATGCTAAGGATTTCAAAGTTCACAGTTTTCGATATAATCATGCGCGAATCCAGACACCCCGAATGCTCCACCCACGCCTGCCAAATGAACTCTACCCACATCGGATAATAACCACAGAGTCGTGGTGTAGGAACCCGCTGCCTGGATGCAGCAGTTTGCAAGTGGACTCACTGAAACCGAACGAATGAAATGATCTGCAAGGGAAAAGAAAGCCAATTCCAAAAGAATCGAATCCACATAGCCTGTTGAATTTTTCCCAGTTCGAAATCGGTATGCCTATCGTCCACTGCTGGTAGTCACTCGATCCGTCATTCGATCAGAGATCTACCTGATCCGCTGCCATCCAAAGCCATCAAAAACCCACAACTTCACTGCAGAAAATGTGGTCACATCTCTAAATAAAAATCAAACAGAGGTACATGAAGGCCTTCTGAAACATGTGTGTAGGGGGGACCACAAGCGAATTAAATTACTCCATTTGGCCATCCCAGTTCAGCCCATGGTCGCTGCCGAAGCCTCTTCGCAGATATGATGTCTGCCATCCAGAGGAAATTCAACAAAGAACTCGGTTGATATATTTGTAGCCTCGTCAAGAAAACATGGCAGATGTGAAGCCAAAACTACAAATAACCGTTTAGAGTTCCTCGAAATTAGCCTCTGAGACGGGTATCTCCCACCGTGCAGCCCATGGATGTCATTTCTAAGACTGCTTAAGCCCGCCATTGCATACGTCCCACGCAAATTCCCAGCGACACGCAGTTATGCACTGTCAGACAAACCCGAACCACCCTTAACGCAAACGCATACCATCCCAACGCAAAACGAGGGAAGAACCAAAACCCAACTCAGTAAGGTTTCAGATGAGCCTGTTGTGTAATCTGTCCGATCGAGAATGCTCATCCACCCTCGCGCAGACGACTCAGTTTCACAACCCAACTCCACACCCTCTCCACATCCGTCACCATCTCCTTTGTCTGCCAATCACCATGAACCCATCGTTGAAGCATCACACCAACACCACCCACCAATCAACTAACAAAACTCGAAACCGCAACGAAGTAAGTCGACGAAAGTGCAAAGAGCCTGTAAAATGATGCACGTCGATCCTTTGAGCGAATTAAAAACTCCAAAACGTTCTCCGCCACAGCGTGAAACCGCTGTCACGCCGCGACACTGAAAACCCAGCGGCCAGACTCTGGGGCTATCAACAAGTTCCAGAACAACCTACAATTGCGACAATATCGACGACAAACCCTGAATAAATAGTGACTTGAAGACAAATTCTGGGCGGTGGAAGGCGAGGGCCAGATCTGGAGGGTTCCAGAATTGGTCGAGAAGGATCAGCGAATGGCTCAATTAGTAAGACGCGCTTGTTCAAATACTTGGCCCCCCTTCTCGTTGCTTCCCGGGCACGTCTTGACCCGCCGCCCGCGATTTCTCCCCCCCAACCCGCGCCGGTCCCCCCCTTGCCGAGTCATTGGACGCTGAACCACCTCCCTTCTGATCCATGGCGTGGGCGGATATGGGTATGGTCGATATTGATGAATGAATTATTACGTGGCATCGGATGCTGGCGACCGATAAATCCCCTGGATTTTTCAGCACCAGCTGTCGTACGGGGCGTGAAACCGTGTCACATGGCAGGTCACGGTCTTGGGTGACCGCGAGCTCGCCGCATTGGTTTCTCCCGCCTTTTGCTCCATGAGTTCCAATGTTGGCACATCGTCCAACGTTTTACTTTTACTTTTACTTTTTCTATTTGTGTATTTTAAACAAATTTACTTCATTTCGTTGTTTGTTTGTTTATATTGTTTCTTGTAGTGTTTTTTTTTAATAAATCCCCTTGTTTGAATATTGTTTCTAGCAAATGAGCGAAAAATCAACCTTTTCTAAGTTGCACTCTGTTTTAGAACTGAAGTGTGTTGAGATAAAAATATAAATAAATGACACTTGTTGGTTATTGGCACTCAACAAGTTTGAGGTTTTACTATGATTTTTTTTGTATTTTTTACTGTAACATGTGCTAATTTGTATATATATTTTTCACACGTAAGCAATATATTTCATGTTTTTTTTTCATTTTTCATGTTACAGTTTACTTTCACGTTTATTAGCTTTAATTGGGCATGTGTAGAGTTACTAGTTTATAATAAAAACTGTGTAGTTAAAATAATAATCATTAATCATATTAATATGTTAACACAGCAATTGTGCCTATTATATTTTTTGTATTTTTATTATTATTATTTGATAAATTTACATATATCATGCACCATGGCAACATCAAAAGAGGGGTGATTACCCAAATTCTTATTTTACAATGACTAAAACGACAACATTTATTTTTTTATTTTCATTTTCCAAGTAAAACTGGTGTTACAAACAATGAAGTCTAGTTAAATATTGAACATGTCAGAGTCAAATTGTTAATGTGCAACTAGTGTAATATTAGCCCTATCATGTGAAGTATTGCTAGTGTTCATACATAAAATGCATGCACACAAAGTGACGACGGTGAGGCTATTTCATTGTGATTTTTGATGAAGAAAATGAATTTATGGGTTTTATACTAGTTCTAATATTGTGTGGTTTTGAAGCTCACGGCATAAATTGATGAGCACTGCCTTGGAATTTGCTCAAGAGGTCTTTCTATATGATTGAAGGTTTCATCAAATGAGGTGTGGCAATTGCACTCTGAAAAAAAAAGAAAAAGAAAAAGAAAAAAGAGGATGGAGACAGTAAAAGATTACGGAATAGTTAGTAAGAAAATGGAGGCATGGGATGTCCTGAAGATTTGTGGACTCCTTTGCTTGGGTTGAATGTTAACATGAAATATAATTTAATAATATTTTTCCTTTGCCTGGTCACCACTCAGTGTTGTTTCTCCATCAACGTCTCTTCTCATTATTGTGTCAGTGATAAAATTTGATTGGCTTCTGATGTCCACAAAAACATGTCACCACTAGGCGCAAGGTTATCTACAATAACAAAGTTTTTGCAGCACATCATGTTTTCATTAAAACATCCATCACAAAGGACAACGAAACAACGCCCAGCATGTGGTACCATGGTTTCATTCCAGCGGAACTTTGGGGTTGCCGATGAAGAAGAGATATTTACGGACACAAATACCCATGCTCTGCATACTCATGTCGTTCAACTGTAAAACCAATATCCATTGCACTTGCACGACTCGAGATAACAAAGAATAGCAGAATAAATCATCGTGCTTGGAGACCACATAAAGACCTGTTTTAGAAACTGTAATTCAGATTTATGATCTTGAATATACAGGGATGGCTCAACTGCAATGTACAGTTCAGCCACCTCTATCCACATGTCTTCAGATCCGACCTGAATTATTCCAGAAAGTATCGTTTCCTCAAGACAATTTGTTTCGTCGCATTTTTGTGAGAAGTAACCTCATAGACTCTGCGTCGGTTGCAATAGGCGCTTCCTATATTACACAGTATCACAACGAGAAGCCATGAATCACTATTTCTGAGGTGATAATAAACCCATAAATACATTCCATGTACATAACAAAATAATAAAGGAACACACTCATAACTGATCATACCTGAAGCATCAAGACAAGGTATTGCTTCTGAGAAACGGTTTAAAAGATACAAGCATATTCCATAATCCCTGGTCAACGCCACCCACAAGATCAATAGCCAATCGTCACAGCTTTGGAATACTTTCTACAAACGAACACATAATATATACACAAGTTCGTAATCCTACTAAAAAAACTACTCGACTGAACTGTAAAGATTGACCTATGGTATTGTACCTCTTGAATGACACCTGGTCGCAAAATCTTAGGTAAACAATGATGCATAGTGTGCTGCAAATAGCAGGATACGAAATTAACGGATTAACATTGAAAGAAGCGGAGAGCATGAGACTTGCAGGGGAAACATCTAGCAGAGTACATGACATCGAGCTATGAACTTCTCAATGTAAAACAAGATATGAAAAGCTTAAATCACAGTTCGTGGATACGCTGAAATCACCTGACGGGATCTTTCCGTTCAAAATACATTCGTTTCAAGTTCGATAGAAGGCGTAGCAAGAAGACTCGATTAGTGATGGATGTGTGCTTCAAGAATTCAGGATTGATCTCCACCAGCACACCATAAACTACAGATAACCTCTCTTCAGCGTCCTGCAGGAAAGTGATCTGCCAGACACAGAAAAAATGATCTTGAATTTATTATTCATCCAAATAGTGCTGTGCAAAAATCCTTTAAAATTGCCAACGTGCACATAGAATTAATATCAAATAGAGATGCACATTTAGGCTACCTTGACACTATCCAAGCAACAAGTGATTCAAAGATTACCAAATTACAAAGAAATTAACCTTGCCATCTGCGTGTGCATCGATGAGGAACTTCAGACCATCACCAATTGAGCGACACATGAAATGTGCAGGTAAATTCACCTCAAACCATGCCCAGCAGTAACAAATATTCTCAGCAAGCTTGGTCTTCGCAAATTGTACTTAAGAGATGTATTTTTAATAATTAATCTGAAGTCAAACGATATGCCAAGCTACTATATATATATATATATATATATACATATATATATATGTGTCAAAGACATTTATCGAGACAACAATATCATTTGTGATTCCTTCAAAATACATTCACACTTCCGGTTCATTCTGGCAATGAAAAAGGGTGGAAAGAAGCTCTAACTTCTAACCAGGAAACGCAGGGTGTACAATGTATCCACATCCAAGTGAAGGCTGATTGAAGTCTTGAGGACTATACATTATATTAATAGAAGAATTAGCACGATTCATATGCAAATAGACACATTCATCATCAATGGGACCATAAAAGTTCAAAAAATTGGAGAAAAAATAAAGTTGGGTACATACCCCTCGCATTAGTAAACCCACACGTTAAGCAAGTTCCATGTACACCAAAGACATTGTAAGCGGTAATCCTGCCAATCGAAGTGGACCAAAAGTGCGTTACTTCACGGAAAATGGAGAACCAAGACACTCCAGCGCAGCACATGAGTTCGACAACTAGGTCATAAAAACAGTAACGCAAGCATGCAACACTGCGGCTAGTTGATTGTTATATTTATTCTATATGATCTAGCAAGGTATCTGAAAAAGCATTTATAGCACACCTCGAATATGCCCTTTAGACTTGTAACTACAATTGCGGATTAACGAAAACTTTTAGTAGGTCTACATGCGGAATTTATGAGCACTTCTGAAATGCGACAAAGGACTCATGCGGGGATATATGTAAATCAATCACATCCAAATTCAGAGTAGGAACATTAATGGGTACGTAAGATGACTGTTTGGTCGTACCTTCTCGGCTCTCTAACACCATGTTTATACATGAATTATCAGGATCAAGGTAGTTTATTTCACCCTTGTATCCTAGTTCATGATAAAGGTACTTATTGATGGTATTGATCATTCGCATTGTGTACCGCCCTGCATGAAAACAATGAACCATCATTAATATGGTTCAAGCATGGAATATGCAACCGGCTAGCAACTCACTGGATTTATCACGTTTCTAGGGTAACTTAAAGCAGAACGTACCACCAGTAGACGGTAGCTGAGGTTCAAGTGCAGCAGCCATCTCATCCATCTGAGTTTCGACTTCTTCGGCACTGATTCTTGGGTACCTACAATGTCCAAAACCCCAAACAACCATTAACAAACTGTGGTAACTACAGCTACACACTGTTCAACATTAAATAGTTACTGCCGGCCAGTGGCTTGTAATTAATTTCAGCAAATCCAGACACTTTATAACTGATCGAGAAATAGAAAGCTCGAAAGGAATATCAAACTCCCGAATCTCACCTGATTCCTAGAAGCAGATAATCTCCCTCATTAATAAAAGAACAATCAGCAAGCTGTACAAGAGCCCACCAAAAATATCATGGACAAGTGACACCAGATTGGTCCACTGTAAGCGATGGAAGTTAACACTAAAAAGAAAAGGAGGTGCTTCAGAGAAGCCAAACTATCTCATATGTTTCCAGTCTATCGATATGCACAACATTAAGTACTACCAAATCTAGCCCGAGGAATTAAAAAAACTAACCAATTTCTTTTCAAGTAGACAGCGATATTATCTCGGATCGTAGGAAGAAACCAGGAAGTGACTTACGCATGCTGACCCACAAAAGTCGCAGCCCGGATTAAGTTGATCTCTTCGTCAGCCTTTGACTCTTCTGCCCTGAAGATATGTAGAGCTCTCATCCGACCCTGTAAATGATACCGCACATGTGGTTACACATCAGATACATTCAGCGATCTTACACCGAACTGCTTGAGCTATCAGTCACGTGTAAAATTCCCAACATGCAGAGAGCAAACCATACCGTGTATATGAACAGCTCAGACTCCAGTGAACCCGCTCTAACGACTGTTTGGTCTGATCGGGGACTTGGAAAATCATTGTTAGTACCATTTTCCTGGGGGAGATCACTGGAGACATCATTCCTCTCATCTTCTCCTTCAGCGCCAAACTCATTATCACCATCATTCAATCCTTCTGAGCCACACCAACACGTGAAAATTCGTGACTTCTTCTTTAATCCCCATGCAGAACCAGATCGATGAACAACTCCACACGTTGAAGCAGAAGACGAGTTACCGCAATAAGAGTAGGTCAACCCATCCTGGGTTGATCCCCCAACCAACATCCCTCTGAATTATCAAGCAAAGACCTACTGCAACCTACATTCGCCAGTAAGGTCTTCCTTCTCATTAAGTGGTAGTTATTTTCTCTAAGCTTGAGTCGCACGAGCCAGCCTATGTCGGAATATGAAACCCACCTCCCATTCAAGCCTTGGTTAAGCTCGCATTCAGGCCTTGGGGAGCAGCTGCTAACAGGAAAGACATACTTGCCTACGTGGAAAGTCTGCACCGATGTAGCCACGGCAGATGATGAGAGTGGCAAAGACGCTCTTGAAGACAAAGTCACAGACAAGATTCGTGCATTGCACAAACCACTGCAAAGGTTCGATGAGATGGGCGAATGCGGAAGATGACTGCGAGCAAGGTTCGTACAAGCTAGTTCCATTGATTACGCCGCACCACTGATAAACCTCTAGGAACTATATTCTTGTGCCAAACCTTCGGCTATACCATGCTGGACGAAGAAAAAGTTTCAATTGAAAGACAGGAGTATACATCCAGTTCCCGTTGCAGAAGGAGAAAACGCTGGCCAGAAGCTGGGTACGCCGAGCTCTGATAGAGAAACAAATTTGAATTCAAACTATCTTCAAGTAATCACAGACGGGGACCAACTTGCAATCCGGCCATGCTTATCACCCCATCATTGAATTTCATGAACAACTCTAAGCTCATATAATCGTTCAACACAAGCTCCGCTCAATCCAGAAAAAAGTACCAGATTCTACCCGTGCGGCAAACAATGCGACTCTCTCCGCCACCAAAAATCTCACACCACCCGCCAAGAAGATAGAAAAAACAAAAAACAAAACAAAACAAACAAACAAACAATCAAACAAACGCTCATTCCCGCAGTTCACACCTCCAATTCGCAAAAACTCTCTCCCCTGCAGAAATCCACGCCTACCTGATACGTAGGTGAGGTGGTAACTCGTCTTCTGCTTCAAAGCTCCCCAAAGCCCGCCTCACTCCCGCATGCACTCTTTAATCCAGCGAGACTGGTGTGCGTGATCACCCACTCCAGCTGCTGCAAAGCACCACAGGAAGCCATCCATCCCCTCGTCCAAGTGTGAGCGGCAAAGAGAGAAATGGGATTGAATGATCGCAATGGATTCTCAATCCACCTGAGTCAGGATGCACCCGTCCTACTGGGCCAACAGGGACAAAATAAAACACACACACACACACACAAACATACACAAACACTACACACGAGAAGACAAGCACAATTGGCGATTACAGTGACGATCGGGAATCAGGTGGCAATGGATGAGTCGGAGAATTCGGCTGCCCTTCTTCTTCTTCTTCTCCTCCTCCTCCTCATCAGTGCCAGTGAAGATCCTCCTCGCTGTCTCGATTAATGCGATGTTGTTTTTTTTGTCTATAAGGGCTCTGCACAAGTGCTATGCTGTTCTATACACCTATATGGGAACCGATCCGGTGTATGTCACTTGAACTTGGAGCGTTCCGCGGGAATACTCATGAGCTTATCTGCTCACCCACTTCCTTGGATTGTTTAGGGTACTATCCATGTAAGTGAGAGTCGCGGTTGACGACTTTGGAGTGCTTAATTTTAATCATATAATGCATGAAAGAAACGTTACAAGATGGATACGCAGAAAATAAAAAAATAAAAAAAGAGCAAATAGAAAACAAAAGAAACAAACAAAATCAAAGAAGAAAAAAAATTCTATATATATATATATATATATATTTAAAATCAAATAATAATAATGAAAAAAAATCCAACAACTACTCCATAACTCTAATGACTACCCACAGGTCTTCATAAATCATGAAAAACACAAATAACTAGAAACTCGTTGAAAATCTTGAGAACCTGAGAACAAATGCTGGCAGTCATGCATACACTATGCATACACTCTACAGTTCAGAGAAGTACAAAATCAACAATAGAAAATTTCCTAAAAATGTTCGATCCCAAGTGGGTTTTCCAATCAACACCTCGACGTGCAGCGGAAAGCATGCAAGCAGGGAAAATGCGGTGAGTGGAGGTGATGGAGTGTGGGTGAAAGAGGGGGAGAAAGGGAGCGGCAAAAACAGACGCAACAGAGAGAAAGGGCAGGTAAAGAGAGAGAGACAGACGGGTGGAGTGAAAGACATGGCGGGGAAGACACATCCGGTAGAGGGAGGGAGTGAGTGCGGACGGAGGACGGACCTGCATCGGTGAGACGCGAGGCGACCCTGAATTAAACTCTGGGTTTCATCTTTGATTCCCTCCTCGCAACGGACACAACGACGGTTCCAAACAGAATTCTAAAAGCTGTGGAGAAGTAGGGTATCGATCCCCATGCCCCAAGCACACTGTGCGAGCGCCCTTCCACTTCAGTCACTTACCCGCAGCCCGACAGCCATAATCCTCATCAGATGGTGAAAAGGTATCAGCGAATCACTTTGACTCTGTTTTGTATTTCAGGCTAAAGCCCCCGATAAAGGTGGAGCACCACCGTGTAAAGACATACTCCGGCATGGTTACGATCGTTGATCAACCGCAGAGTAACTGATGTTGGTTTTCCATGCTCTCGTGAAAGGATTCCAGATTAACGTGCAGGTGTTTGTTGTGATAAGCTTTGCTTAAATTGAAGCAAGTACTATCCGTCCTGATTGCTCTGCTTGTTAAATTTACCAGAACATAGTCAATCATAAATAAATAGAGCTCACCCTCAATTTCGTGGACTCTCTCAAGGTTGAAGAGAAAAGTCCCGTGGTATTGAATGCAGGTGGAGAAGATGGGCCTATATCCGAAGCATTTCGGACATGAAATTATGTGTAGAGAAGAATGCGGTGGATGAATTTGAACAGGACCCACTTTTAGAAAACATCTCAATTGCCTCACTACACACTTTTTATTTGAGAAGAATTTCATCAAAATTGAGAGATACAGTCTGACATTTCTAGAAGGCGGAGTGGTCACTAGTTCGATTTGTGAAGGAGTGCGTATGAATATGTGAGTTGGAATCATGCCTCACAGCAATGCATGTTTAGCAAGTTAGGTTGTAATCCAGGTTAGTAGGATACGCTGAGGATCACTCAAAACCGAAGTACCCATAAATCCGTGAGGGACAAATACACCGTGAATGCATACAAACAACCTGACGATACCTCCTTGCCTTGTTTCCCATACCCAGATCTTCGGCAAAACAAAAATCTCTGGGTATCGCTAACCTAGGATGAGGAACTCTATATTTGCTATATTTCAAGTCACTAGCACATTTCAGAACTTTATCTAGATATTGATCATTACAACCTGCCTATGGTTGACTCATTAACGTTGATAACAGAACTTTCGACTACCCATTCTTTTCCCCAACAGGTTCCCCCCTGCGAATTCCAAGAATCATGCAGTGGTTCATGAGCTTGAGCTAATCAGGATTGCACTAAATTTCCCACTTTTTCATATCCATTCCTGTTGGAGCACTTCCTTCGACCTTCTTCTTGCCAACATCCTTCCAATTTGTGGAAAGTACTGTCCCATTTGACTCCACCTGTTCAAACATAGTGAGATGCAGTCATCCCAATGTAATCAGAATGAGAACATTCCTGCAATAAAACATGCATATTATGGCCTACCAATATTACTTCAAGTCGGGAGACAAGTTCAAAATTGGAAACAATATGGAAAAAGAGACATACGAATGACTTATTCATTGCCCGCCTTGTATCCTCGTCAGCACTCGAGTATATATCTCGAAACAACTTGTTAAGAGCTGCATCCCCCTCTAGTTTTTCATCCTTCTCCTGCAAGGATAGACACCCCAAACGAAGGATTACTACAATATCTAAAAGGTAAAAAAAATCGTTGAAAACAAGACTGTCTGAGAAACCTCAGGCTCAGAAAACTCAAAGACCAAGTGCTTATAACAAGTAAAGTAACCGAACGCATGTAAGCTGAAGCTTCACGAGCTCTGAGTTTGCAAGCTTCAATCATTGGCCTGTGGACATACTTCTTTCTTCACTTCAGCCTCAATCCTGTCCCAATCCTTCGACGGCTTTTTTGTGGATGAGGGATACTCCTTCACATCTGTGTCCCACACACAGGAGAAGTAAGAGTTATTAAGCATACATAGGCAGTCTCTGTCATCAAGTTGAGCATCATATGTTAAATGAAGTTCGAAATGAATCGAAGTAAGGAAACGGATCAAGACCTTTCTTGGTGGCTACTTTAACAGTTACAGACTTCGGGTCGAACTCCAACTGCTTCCACTGCGAAGGGTCCGCCTTGGCGAGCTTGATCTCCACCTTAGTGCTGAGTAAGCTGTAACTGCACTTACTCGGAACAATCTACAAATTCCAAGTTCGCAGTATATCAGAGAGAGGCAACATGTAGCTCACAGAGACTGAACAATGGATATCAAAGCGGCTGAATAAAAGAAAAATTGCACTATAACGAGTCTCAAAGAGAAGAAGACATACCTTGCCATACAGGCGAGTCTGAAAAACGTAAGGCTCCTCTGATTCTCCGGCCTTGATGACCACACTAAGCTGCAACAGAAGTAAACATTCAAACCTAAGCTTAATGTGTAAATTTAAAAATAATAAGACTCGGTTCAGAGCTTAACATACCCTTCCAATCTAGAGAACGTTAATACCACCGTTCTGACCGCTTGTCAAACTAAATCGCAACACATACCTTTAAAATTGCAAGAGCATGAAAATAACACCTACAATCATGTAGGTATGTAGAGACATGCAGCTAAAACATGACTTACTATTTGCTCCCCAAAGTCGACTTCCAAGTCCTCCTTTCTGATTTTTTTTGCGAAGATCTCAATGGAAGTATAAGATTGTGACTGGTACCAAGTGTGCCTGCAGAGTAACAATCGTCCAAAGTCTTAGGAATAGTTTTTGTTTCACAATAATGACATCACTTGATCCTAAGAAGAACCTCAACCGCTATGATGCAGATTTTGAATCGGCAATGCAATTATAGATCACTGTATCGACCTTAGCACAAGAAACTCATTCTAATTAAATCATATTCGTAACTTCATAATAATGACAACAACCGCTACGGAATATTGTCTATGTAGAAATAATAAGTTTCATTCACATCTACATCATTTGACATTGTGGAGCATCACGAAGTAGCGCAGCTGTTGAACAGCATCGCACCTGTATTTGGGGGGTGCAGGTGAAGCAGGCTCAGGTGCAGGCACTTCGCTCGAGGAAGGCTCTTCCTTCTCCAACGATGGCACAACTTCAGAATCTGCAGACCGTGTGCTTGTCTCCATTGGTTCTGCTACCTCTGAGGCACTACTCACCGTAGTTGCAGCAGGTCTAGAGGTTGCAAATACTTCAGTATTCTCCTCTACACACAATTACAATATGTGAATACGTAAAAAACTAATTCTTTGACCTTGCATTTTCGATAGAAATTAAAAACTTTATGAAAATCATTTTCGAAGGATATGAACAATACCGCTTATCTTCGCATCACATTTAGCTATCCAAGTCTTGAATGCAGAGATCGTTGGATCCAAAGCGGCTCCTGCTTCAAAGGATGCCTTCGCAGTTTCATACTCTTCAAGATGGAAGCATGCTATCCTGTCCAACAATAATAGTTGCGTCCATGTGATCGTTGCGTTAGCTTGAGCTCAATCAACAGTGTGATAAGTTAGGGTTTACTGAAACCCCAAAGCAACCATAGAAGGTCTCATTTTAAACCGAAGCAAGGTACTTCCCCAATTCTCGCGAACCTCTTGGATAACTGTAAAAACGGATAGAAATGTAGCAATATTATGTTTGTAATTGTGGCTTCTCTTAGTGAAATTCTATCAACGATTAAAAACATTACCGTGCAACTGAGGTCTAATATATTCTAATTGATTGCAAGAGTAGGAACATCGATAAAACGATTTTTTACCAAAAAAACATCAGCAAGGAAATACTGCGCATGCTACTAGTTACGCTGTAGCGGAGGCATGTAGAAAATCTTGTATCATTTCCTCCGATCGTCAAATCATGATACGAAGACGGCGGCTGAGTACTAGCAAATCAAAGAGTAAAGAGTAATAAATAACAGCAGAATACCCTTTCCGAAGAAACGCTTTGGGTGCCTTGGGATTCAGTTCAATAGCTCTGTTTGCATCTGCAACAGCATCTGTATCAACCAGCATTTGTCCCGCCTGATCAGTGTTGTAAATTGAGAGATTCTTGGATCACACAAAAATTGTTTACGCCAATTATTTCAAAAAAAAGAAAAAGAAAAGGACAAATAATCAGTTTAACTGCAAAAACTGGCAGAAATCGAATTCCTATCTACTAAAGACACTGGCGAACCTCAAGATTCTGATCTCAACCCACTTAATAAGGCTAACATTGTTGTAGAAAACGAACAGTGCACAGATAATAAAGAAAATTTCTAAATATAACAAACACGAATCGCTTGAACTGACAAAAAATACAAGAACGACAACAGTAAATTTGACATTTTCAACGACATTTCCAATATGATGGTAGATGAAGTCATCAAATAAATATTCGAAGGTCACACTAGCTCTCCTTAACAAGATCTGGCTATTGGTCCCATCCATTTGTAACTTTCTAAACTCGCAGCAGCATGATATTTGAGCACACAACATATTTATCAACGCAGTAACCAACACTTATCGAAAACAAAACATTCTCTTCATAGCTCAACAGCTAAGATGCTGAAACCATTTTGGTGATTACGATTGGAAACCAAAATGCACAAGTAGATATATCATTTCCTTCTATCTCCGATGCATAGATGATATTCGTATTATTCGTCTAAAAGCGTATGTAACGAGGAGAAGAGCGTGGAATTGATGATATGGTTGTTAAGGTATATTGATCAGCGACTTATCTAATTAAAGACCTGAAAGATTCTCTACATTGAATCATAAACAAGATAACTGCTCCTGCGTGGATATGTTTTAAAGACCATTTCAGCGAAGAGAAACCAAAAAACATTTTTGACATTCAGATTCAACCTGTCGACGAAGGAAATAGGGCTACGAATACCTAAACGTATGATCAGTTCTCCTAATGCACCACTCTCAGATCTATCGAGATATAGAGCTATTTCTATGTATGTCAAGAACCACTGACACCCTGCAGTCTACCTAACTGAACTCCCACCAAAGTTCAACCATTACCGGTGTAGTTCTCGAGCTTGGTGTGAGCCGCGGCGCGACTACTGAGCACTGTCGCATTCGCAGGTTCCAAAGCCAAAGCTTCCGTGTAAAGATTCACAGCTTCTTCGTAATCCTCGTCCACGAAGGCAGCGTGCCCTCGCTTCTCAATATCCTCTGCCATCTCAAAACCCACCATGATGGCCCAAGACAATACTCCTCGACCAAGCCCCCTCTAAAATTGCAGAAAATTGCAGAAACCCAATAACTACACCAGGGTCGCGACGAAGACACCCCAGATTTCCTTAACGCGAACTTGAAAGATGCGAAGATCAGACACGCGACAAGGCCGTTTTCACTCAGCGACTGCGCACTCTTACCGACACCGTGAAGGAACCGAACACTCTCGAAGGCCCATGTTGCTCTGCTAGTATTGCTGTTTGGGTGGAAAGAACCACCTTTGCAGGGTACACGCGTACCCAATGCGGGGACCGGATAGAAATCGGTGCATACATAAACTATGTATATCAACCAGTTCATGAACAAGAACATAAGCACCCAGTCAAGGGTGCCCTTGTGATTCGCACTGGCGGGAAAGGAGACGGTCTCTGCTCTCTTCTTCTCTGCCGTGGCTGTTCGTTCGAGCTGCCTCGGGCCTCGTTTCCGGCATGCGCACAGACCATGTCAATGTGCTTACAACCTTACGTAAGTTGTGGCATCGTTATTACGTGTAAATTCTATGCGTTGATGATGTTTATTTGTTGGTAGATCAGCGATCAAACTATCTTCGCCTGGCAACAGTGGATATGGAGGCTTCTAAGGAGAAGAAGAAGCCCAAGGGGAAGGGAGCTACTGCCACTGAATCTGTCCTCAAACAAAGTAATTGAAATTCAACCTGATCTAAAATTCCTTGCGATGTTCATGGGTTTCGATCCTTTGGTCCTAAAATCATTTTTGAAATGCGTTGCTTGTAATTCCAATGGTTTTGAGTATCTAATTTTGATTAGGGCAATGCATTGTTGTCGAACAGAGTGTTGTGCGATGGGGTGGTTTGCTGCACAATGCGCTGTCGGGGATATGAATAAGATGGACTTTAGTTATATGTTGACATTTAAACATAACATAGTATGGTTATTTCGCATTTTATTGATTATGCAAAGACAGCAATTATGGCTGTCCCTAAGCTCGAATGATCAGCATCTGCAATGAACGGTGGTGGGGTATTACTTTCTTTGTCTACAATGTCAGTTGGTTTTGCTTTGTCCTGATATTCGTGTTTATTCAAACTGCAGAGTCTCCTGCCGAATTTTTCTCCGAGAATAAAAATATTGCCGGATTCGACAATGTAAGCTTCCTCTTGTCCATGCTTTACAATCGTCTGAACTCATGCGAGACATGTCTAGTGACCTTGTAGATTCTAAAATGGCTTGTAATCTATTAACTTGCAGCAAATGTGAAGACTGCATTGTGAAGCAGATATGAAAAGCTTCTAGAGTGAAAATCTTCAATTGACGCTCTAGTCGACGCATGCACGTACCTTTGAGTGCTAGCCTTCTTTTATTTTCTCTGCCTAATGTCGCATGTACAACTTTTTGTATATTAGTAGAATGGTTTTCTGTTCTGTACATTTTCACTGGACGCAGGATTCTCATCTGAAATTTTTGCATTGTGTGGCAGCCTGGAAAGAGTCTTTATACAACAGTACGTGAGCTGGTTGAAAATGCCCTTGATTCAGCAGAGTCCATTGCTGAGCTTCCTGTCATTGAAGTGACTATGTAAGTTGTTGGAAAATAGTGATTTTTTATTTGTTATCTTTTGCAGATTTTTCATTTGTTTATTTCAGGAGATGTGATAGAGCTGAATGTGGCCTGTACGGTGCCTGTATTATCCACATTATCCACTTATTTTTGCTATTGCACCCTTCTCAAACCACTTTGGAAAACTGCAACTTACAGTTAGCAAAAGGACTTTGAGACCAGGTCTTCTCTCCTCATCAACAACTCTCTGCTAATTGAACTCTTGTAGTTGCATCCTCGTTTTACTCGTGACCTACGTGTGTGGTAATTTGTGAAAGAGCTAATGCTATTTGTGCACCTTGTGCAGTGAGGAGATTAGCAAATCTGCATTTAATGCTATGATTGGGCTTGTTGACCGGGAGCGTATTGATGCAGCTTTATATGACGATTTCGAATCCGAGAAGGCCAAGGAGGTGATTGACCGAATTCGTATGTCTCTGCATATGCGAAAGCTTATTGTTATTCTTCATCGCCATGTTATTATGTTGAAATGAGTGCTCTTTCTTAGCTGTAGCAGTGCATTGCCACGAAGTTATTCTATTCAGTTGAGTCCTTGCTATTGGCCTTGTGTTTATTCAGGTTTTGAGGAGTACTTTTGATTTAGATCTGCAGTTTCCATCTTTTCTCACGATGCATGAGTCTCTATGCAGAAACGACTTGCCAAGGAAGCCAAGGAGCAAGAAAAGGTAGCTAAGGCCTTAGCTGCTGGAAAGAAGGTTAAGGATCCTCATGCTAAAACTGGTAAAGGGCGTGGCGACACATGCTTCTTCAAGGTTACTTGCAAGGTACTCACACTTAAGCAGACTTATACTATGTTGTGCTTATCGTAGTATCTATGCTCGTTCTTGTGAAAAAGATTTTAAAACTCTGTGTGATGGATGTCTTCTGTGGTATATTTTTGAATCCAATAATCGCTTCAAGATCTTTTAGGGCTGAGTTAGGTTGTGAGTGTTGTTCCTCTATTATTAATAATCTGTGGGCATGTGAAGACTTGCTGGAACCAACCTAGATCACTGAGAGATACATACCCAACTGTTTAGTTTTCCAAGCTTAGAAGTTGGATAGTAAAATTATCTCTACTGTAATTTGTATTCGGTGCACAACAGTATCTTGGAAATGAACTAAACTGAAGGTTTACTGACAGGATAATGGGAAAGGTATGCCACATGTTGATATTCCGAACATGCTCGGTCGAGGTATGTGAACTACTTGATTCATTTGGTATGATGACTGCTTTCTGTTCATTAGTCATATTCAAATCAGCGCTGTTGTCGCACGACATTGGAATTAGTAAAGGTTTACTAAAGAAATCTTCGTTTCTAATAAGTTTTGAGGTGCACGTTGTTCATTCTATGCACGGTAGTGATGTGGTGGCATTGTGTGGTCAGCAATTTTTCAGCCCCTCCCCTGTTCTGCTCCTCATACTAACTAGTCCTGATGTGGATGCTTGCTGGTGTATGACAGTTCTGTCAGGAACAAAATATGGATTGAAGCAAACTCGCGGTAAATTCGGGCTGGGTGCTAAAATGGTTAGAGAATATTTCACTTTCACCTCAAAACACGCCTACATCCTATTTAGTTCATAGATTTGCATATGCATTCTATGCATGGCTCACTGGTTGGCAACTTGCAGAAGAGCCAAATATTGCTCTGTTTATCCCAAGTCTGAGATTTACCTTCACATATGTTAGTTAAATGTGATCTAAGCTGATGTAAAATTACCTCGTGCATCCATTAATGAGCAGTCAATTATGTTTTGACTGCTTTGGGCTTTTTTCAGGCTTTAATCTGGTCGAAAATGAGCACTGGTCTGCCGATCGACATCTGGAGTTCTACGAAAGGGCAGGACTTTATTTCTTTCTGCAAGCTTGATCTTAATATTCACCAGTAAGTTGAATTCATTCACAGTCGTGATTTTGCTAAGGAAGAAGTAATCCGCAAGGTCATACTGTATACACACACGCACGCTCACATAATGTATTGCATGCCTTTGTAGAGCTGTCAGCCGCTAACATAACCTGCTGTCTTTTTTATTTTAAAGTTTTTTTTGGAGATAGAAGTATCACAATTTCATCCAAGTCCGTCCAGTATGGCTTGTCATAGCTTTTGGATGCTGTTTACCTGAGCTATGTTACTTCATTAAGATTAGCTACCATATGTACATTCTCCAGAAACATTCCAAATATCCATGTACATGAGAAACGGCCTAATCCTGAGAAATGGCGTGGAGCGGAACTTCAGGTTACTATAGAAGGCAATTGGACAACTTATCGCGTGAGTGCAGCCTTGGCCTAAGTTACCTCACCTTTGATTCAGAGAGTGTACAGTTACCCGACAACTTTTGCTGCAATGTGTAATTGTCGCACATCTGGATCTGTCAAGGATATGTGGTTGGATTGGCTTTCAACATAAGATTCATTGAAGGATGGCGTGCGATTTTCTCTTCAGCTGTTCCGAAGATTGCTTAAAGACATTCCAGTGTTTCCATCGGTCATGGTGAAGGTTGGGAGATGTAAGGAAGTGTGGACTGACAAAAATAATGTCCAAACTGCATCTCTTGTTTTTCACGAAAATGCTGGGTTGGATACAGGCGAAGATAATAAACTACTTGCGGCAGATGGCTGTAATTACACCTTACGCACAATTCAACTTTTCTTATATTGGACCAATACCAGAGTGAGTTTTGTGTTTCTTTTGCACAGGGTATCTGATATTTTTATAAATTTATGACTGCGTCTGCCTCGTGCCCACGCTTCTGCCCCCGGTGGACTTCTAAGTTTTGTTTTTGCTCTATTTCTAGGAAGAATTTGGCCATTCGGTTTGCGAGGCGAACAGATGTAATGCCTCCTGTGCCAGAGGAAACCAAGCATCACCCTTCAGCTGTAGATCTGCTGCTTATCAAAAGACTTATTGCAGAATCAAAAGAAATACACCTCCAAGCTTTTCTGCAGAAGGAATTTGTTTCCATTAATAAAGCACATGCCGAACGACTTATTGGTACGTAATACTGTATGGTTTTTTACTTTGACTTTTGAATAAAAGGACAACTATTCCAAGATTATCCCATGATTTGAATGTTCGCAAGATAAGTGGGTCCTGTCCCTTACATATTCTGTAAGCTGCACCTGAAGATCAATTCATTTCATACTGATCTGGCCTGTAGGTGAAATGGGCCCTGAGTTTCAACCTAAGATGCTAGTGAAATCACTCAGCGATGAGCAGATTGTTCGTCTTCACCAGTTATTCAGACAAGCCAAATTTGATGATCCGAGTGGACAGGTAATACTAGGACTTGTGGGGTTACCTATCTTAAACTCAGTTTGTTCCAGAAAGTTTAGATAGTTGGAGGAAATTTGAGAATTTCTTCAGTGGATGCTTGTTGACAACGCTTCGGTGCAGTGCCTCAGCCCTGCTGGAGAATACAATCTACGCCTTGGTATCATGAAAGAGCTGAATCCAGACCTCGTTGCTACTTATGAGGGCAGGTGAGTTAACTGCAAACACAGATGATGCATACAAGCTTGATAATTGGATTTGGATGTTCTGTTTTAATTATTTAGTGTGCATTGCTACTCAGAATTCAGCTGATTCTGACCATCTGTCATATGGCTTATTGAGGGAGCAAGCAAAGACTAGACTTGGGCTTCATAACGTAGTTCCACCCTTAGGTTGACCAAGTCCAATGACTTCTAGTTCGTTTTCCAAGTATGCTTCGAAAAGATGCAATGTACAGCCTTCCAATTGCCGCAAATTATGCAAGCAATGGTCTGCAAATTTTTCCAATGATCGAAAAGAATCCTCTGGCTGCAGTGCTCAAGTCTTTGAGGGACATCCATTTATAGTGGAGGCTGGGGTTAGTCTTGGCGGTAAAGATGTGAAGCCTGTAAGCGCTCTCTCTCGCACCGCAACACCTCCCCCCCCCCCCCCGACCACGCTCTCTTTCTCTCCCTTAGTTAGTTCTACTGATGCAACTATTTCCTTGTCGTGGTTTCCCATACTTTATTTGTTTAGTTAGCTAAAAAACTGGATGATGGGATCATACCAAGTTTGCATTTCTTGGATTTGGAGTAATATTTAACTTAGCGGCCTTCCAACATTTGCTGCTGCAGCATCTACTTTACACACTAATCCATCGGTCCTCTAGGGGCTAAACAATTCTTTCTATGCTTGTGCCATATTTTAAGCTTCATATTCGTATCAAGTATTTTTTTCATGTTTTTTAAGTGGTTAGCCACCGCAGATAAGACTCTTTCCAATTTGAATCTGGGCAGTGAGTCCTGTGCCAGACCAATGAACTTTATATTTGTTTTGTCGGGTGTTTGATGATTTGTAATATTTTGACGGGGGTTCAGGGCATCAATATTTTTCGCTTTGCCAATCGTATCCCTCTACTATTTGAGCAAGGGGGAGATGTTGTCACACGTACCGCCATGAAACGCATCAAGTAAGAACCTTAACCTTCATAGGGCAAAGGCCATTATATCCAATTTTTCATTTTCGTTGTGAATTTAATTTTAAGTTGTCTTGTAGCTGGGGCTCGTATAAAATCAATCAACAACAAGACAAGATTGGTGTATTTGTGAGCATTGTGAGCACCAAAATTCCGTTCAAGGGCACTGGCAAAGAGTACATTGGTGATGATATATCTGAAATTGCAGCAGCGGTTAAGGTGACTCTAGATTCCGTCTCATTTGTTTTTCATGCACAGTACATAATTGCAAAATAAGACCTTGAGTTTAATACGTTACCCCAAAAAATGAATGCTTTATGCACTTCGAACCGCCAAATCCTTCTTGGTGTGCAGCATGATGCGCTTTTTATCTTATAAAGGAATAAGGGTTTTCCAGTTTCATTTCTCATCTTTGTCTACTGTCAACTATTGAGACACTGAAATGCTGAGACATTTATATTACTCTGCAATTGAATTGGCAGTCATCACTTCAAAATTGCTGCATTCAGCTGAAAGCCAAAATAGTTCGACAGCAGCAAGCTAAAGAAAGGCAGCAACGGAAGCGGAATCTCTCAAAGTAAATATTTTGCTGTTAGCAACGAATTTATGATCATTGGAAATTCTAGTCCTATGTTGCAGTTACTTCTTAAGTGTTTCTATCCTTATTATCCAGTTTTGAATGTCGTATTTGTGATTACGCTAGAAATGCATCTGTATGTATTTACATGCAAGTTTGCAATCCTTGCAGGTACATTCCAGATGTTTCGCGCGCAATTTATGATGTATTGCAACTTATGGCGGGACCAGCGGCCAAGAGGCAGAAGTTTGGTTTTGAATATCAAGATATGCTTGAGAAAGTTGCTAAGCGTGAAATCACAGAAGCCACATTGAAGCAAAAGCTTACACAGCATGTTCAACAGGTTCAAACCTTTTTCTTTCTTTCCTCCTCCTTTTTTGTTTTTTTGTTTGTTTGTTTTGTTAGCGTTATGTAAAAATATATATATATTCTTATTTTATTTTACTTAATTTTATTTAGAGGTTCTCTATTTGTTCTTAGAAACTCGAATGAAATGATTTGATGAAGTGTGTCATGAAGTGTGGTTTAGAGTTGAGTGCTTGGGTCGTATTCTTTCACTCTGGTAACCAATGTGGACCTAACTTGAGCCCAATGGCCCTATTTGATACCCATCACCCATGCTCAACCAACTATTATCATTATTATTATTATTATTATTATTCTTTATTTAATTATTTTCTTTTAGTAGTTTCTTCTATGGCAGCTGAGGAGTCGTTGCTTAGCGTATGTTATATATTAACGGTCATCTCTTTGACATTCGACTCTCATTTTGTAGGTTGACTCGGAGATGGCTCTAGAATTTGCTACCCAGAGTGGCATGGTTGATACTGCTCGAGAGAATGTCTATCTGACGGCTTTAGATGCCAAGAGGGAATTTGCAGTAGAATTTCACAATTCAGTTGGCGTATTTAAACTATTTACAGGATTATAATGCAATATTAATTCGAAGTTATACTGTGATCCCATCACAAACTGTAGGGATTTCACAATCTTCTGATGGAGAATGCAAGAAGTCTTGTAGGCAAAGGATATGAATTGTTAATGTGTTGTGAAGAGAACAAGCATGTAAGTTATCTATATTCAGATTCATTTCTATGAATAAAAATAAGACTAACATTGAATTATTTTAACACATTGTTGTCAAGATTTTGATCCTCTGTCTGAAGAAATATTTATTTATTCAAACAATGTGAAAAAGTTATACATGAATGGTTGATGATAGTTAAAAAATGTAAAGGTTGCACATAAAATTGTAACAATATACTTTATTTTGTTTTGTTTGTTTGTGCACGTATACCTGTCATGTACATTGAAAGGCTTTAGATTCATGAATGTGCGGTACATTGTAATTTTACATGATTGTTATTATGTTGCCAATTTTGAAATTCAAGACCAATTTAAAAATATACTTAAAATTTTAATTACTACATAAATTTGAAATCTAAAGCTGAAATAATTATACTAAAAAATATTTTAAATTTCATAAAATATTAAATAATAACATTTCGAAAATTGATAAGTATTTATGTTAACATTCAAGTTAAAAAAATGAAATTTTTTTATCATTATATTTCAACTAGATAATGTTATTTTTTGTATAAGGTCAAACAAAAAATAAGTTGATTCCTTACATTGTGCCATGTGTGTTCTTATTGAATATCTCTATTTTTTTAAATAACAAAAATTGCTACTTCACCAAAAGTAATATAGCTAGAAATTAACAAATAAGATTTAACTTGTTTTTCATGTTTTATGATTTTTTAAAAATTCAGTTAATAAAAAAAACAATGATCTAAAAATGACATTAAACAAACTACTGCTGTTACAATAATAATAACAAAGTTTTAAATTCTTATAATGATAATAAAAATTAAAATATAATGATGATTTAAAAAACGTTTCTCTAAGAATAAAATACCCAATAAGACAATAAAACACAAGTTAATTTCCTTCAAAAATGTCTCATTCTATGAAAACAGCAAAAAGTTGCTCTTCTTTTTAGTAGAGTCTACAGGAAAAAGAAACTAAGATTGGCCTCCTCTTCCAATATAAAGTATAATATTTGTGATAATCCTTCATTGCTAACCATAGTAACATTCTTTCTATAATGTCAACATAGATAGAATGTTGTGAGAGTTGACTGGTCTACGTCAAGTCTTCTATTTTTTGAGTTTCTCTCTTTCTTGTCACAGTACAAATGACTCACTACTCCACCACCATATAAAACCCATAAACAAAGGTTTTTGTTATCCCATCCACTTGGCACACAAAGATTGAGTAGACATGGCCCATCATAGTGGATGAGTTCTATGTGCCTTCTTCTCACTATTTCTTCTACTCCTTATTATTTTATTATTATTATTATTATTTCTTCAATCTTCTTCTTCTTCATGTGCTTCTTCTCACTATTTCTTCTACTCCTTATTTTATTATTATTATTATTATTATTATTTCTTCAATCTTCTTCTTCTTCTTCATGTGCTTCTTTTAGAGGAGAGTTAAAATATCAATAGATTGGAAGCCAAACATGACCCCACATGGGCAGATCACCAGACTTTGGAAGCCGAATCTGAAGCTTTGCAAAAGCCACGATGGCGATGGAGAAAGGAGCAACATGGACCCACAAGTCAAACCCACACGGCCACCAAGGACAACAACAAAGGGGAAAACCAAGGCTGTCAAAACCCAGGGCAAAGCAAAATGCAAACCAAACCAAACCAAAAGGACGTGCAACAGCAAAAGAAAACCAGTAAGTAGCATCAGTAGGAAGGGGACGCAACACACAGCTGAGCTTAGAAGCAACGCCGCAGCGCAACAACAGCGGCTCCCCTTTTGGTTTGGTGGGGTCCTTCTTCTAACTAGCTCAGGCATGAAGGAGGGACAACTATCCACTGCCCATTGCCACGACAAGCTTTTCGAGAATAATATGAACCGGGGAGCAACAATAAAACAGGGAAAGTAAAGCACAACAGTAGCAAAAGTCGGTGGTGATGGTGGAGGAGGAGGAGGAAAAGCTGCAGGCGAATGGCTTTCGACCTCCACTGGTCTGCCTGCAGGGCTGCCAGTCATTGGCGTTTACCTCCAAACGTGATCGTCGAGGAGATCTTACACGCTTACTCGGTTGACCTTCCTCTGACACGAGTCAATGCGTCAGAGCCTCGCTAGATTAGAGCAAACAAACCAAACTTTCATAGGTGAGTGAGTGAGTTGGGGGGGGGGGGGGGGGGGGGGGTTTTTTTAAATGTTTGACCTAGGAGACGCTCAAGTTTGAAAGGGATGTGCAGGAAGATTGAAAGTGCAGAAAAGAGAGTTGAAAGCGAGGGTGGGGAGCTGAGTGAAGCTCTCAAGGCTCTGCGGCCCCACAATCCACTCTGGACTCCATGCTGACGCGATTTATTTGTTTATTTATTTATTAAATATTATGACTATACTACCCTTTGAGATGAAGATCTGGCTGTGTTCGAACTCTGGCAATCGACACGTAGGTGCCGCTGGAAGTACCCATTCATGATTATTGCCTGGTGCGGAGATTGGTCTTGGCTAAAGATCCATGGTGGAGAGGTCTGGAGAGACAAGTATATAAGGGCAAGTAGTAGTGGACCCAGCAGCGCGGATCTGATGCGAGCTGGAGTACATTTGTATTTTAGCGTCTATGTATTTGGGTGTAGTATAATGCTCGCTGCTTGGAATCGTTGCTTTCGAAGTGGGAACAATTCTGTTGTTGACTCATCTTGTGACGACTAGTGTTGGGTTCCTCGTCAGGTCTGACCACCATGGCGCGATATGTTGAGCTTGTGTTTCACGGTCTAAACTCAGCCGTCTCACACACACAAACACACACACACACACACAGACCAGAGATGACTGACTCTTGTGCGAGTTCGATTGCAAGTACAATCCATGTGCTGTTGCTAAAGAATATAGTGGAGCTTTAATGCTGCAACCACACCTCCATCATAGTGGATTTTGCTACCACTTTCGGTCATAGTGTAGAGGATGCTGCCTGTGAAATGTGTACTCAACGTTGATATAGACAGTTCGAGGATTCAATGTTGAGACAGAAAACTGATCAACGTCGGAAGTTCGATTTGTAAAGTAGGTTGGATAAGGCATGGGAACCACAACTCTCCATCGTGACGCCAGAGTGCAGCCGGCTAAGCAAAGACACAGGTCTTGTGCCTCAAGGCCCCGCCCCCTACTGCAGAGGTGAGACCCAAGTGTTAACGTGCAGAAAAACTCGAGCTCGGAATTGCCAGCCTCATTGCTGCTCTCACCTGCTAGCATGGATCCCGAGTCTCCAAATCCTCGGGTAAATCATTCTCCCCATTTTGCGACTGTTTTCGTACTCTTTGTCTGATATTGATGCACACTAGTGTCTGACCTTAGGACATTTGCATCTACGAGTATTCTACTTGGCAAAGCTAATAGGGATCTGAATTTTGAGAGGATCATGGAAATCAAGATAGTAGAGGCAGCGCAGGAGTAAACCTTTGTGTCCAACCGGAATTATCCTACTTAGGACTGTTCGTTGGGGCCCGTTTTAGATAAGCAGCAGTCATATTCTTCCACAATTCTGGAATCTCTTCCGTCACCTCTGCTTGGTTTTATAGAGTAATTTCCTTTCACAAATGGACCTGGGAAATTCAGTCCGTAGCAGCCAATATGAGAGAATATTGTGGTCCCAGTTTTCTAAGTTCTAGAGAGTGACTTGTGTTGCACATCGCGACTCGAAATCATAGAAACCAGTGGAGTTCTGCAATAAACTAGTACTCATGCTGTAGTCAAGCATGGAACCAGACGGTTTTTTTCTTTTCTCTTTTCAACTTCAAGTTTTCGTTGGGCTATGGGCTAATTTGCAAGTGGAAGCATGTAGACGCATGGTCGCTCGCAGTCGATGGTAGCGGTACTGATGCTGGCATATCAAAGCTTCGGCGTGGTGTATGGGGATTTGTGCGTGTCGCCGCTGTACGTCTTCCGCAGCACATTTTCAGGTGACCTACGTTCGCACATGACGGAGGGCGAGATCTCTGGCGTGCTGTCTCTCATCTTCTGGACCCTCACCTTGGTGCCTGTCATCAAATACGCCATCATCATTCTCAACGCCGACGACAACGGCGAAGGCGGCACGTTCGCGCTGTATTCATTGCTGTGCCGACACGCCAAACTGAGCTTGATTCTTAATCGGCAGAATGCAGATTCGGAGCTCTTGACCCACAATTTAGAGCAGCCGCCAGAGACGCCGCGCGGACAAACAATCTGTAGGCTGCTGGAAAAACACGTATTTCTCAGGAATGGGCTAATCATCGTCGTATTGCTGGGCAGCTGCATGGTCATCGGCAATGGCATTCTCACTCCTTCTATTGCAGGTATGGCTTTCCTTCACACTTCTTGCTATTGCACAAAGCCTTCTCAATCTCGTTCTTCACTGGTTTCGCCCCAGCTATGATGCTACTATGAAATTAATTTACCCATTTTTCACTAAAAATTTAGGTTTCTATCTGAACCAATCAGAATATATCTCACTTCGACTATGGCGGAGGAATCACTCATGTTCATGCTCGTCGTTGGTGCTATTTTTTTGACAGTTTTGTCAGCAACTTCTGGAATCTCGGTTGCGGCTCCTCAGTTACCACAGAGTGAGCACTTCTCTTCCTGCCGCCAGACCCATTTCTAGATTTTTTGTCAAAAATCATGGACTGAGAGTGTGTTCGAGAAACCTTTGAGGTGAGCGTTGTTGGTGTCTGATGAATGTCGACCTGTGGGTGAGTGTGGGTTGCAGGTGTGGCGGTGCTGGTGTCATGCGGCATCTTGGTGCTGCTGTTCGGACTGCAGCACCTTGGCACACACCGAATCTCGTTTATGTTCGCACCCATAGTGCTAATGTGGTTGTTTTGCAATTGCGCCGTTGGGATATACAACCTCGTGACGTACAATCCTCTCATTATTCACGCACTCTCCCCATACTACATCTACCACTTCTTCAAAGTATCAGGAAGAGATGGCTGGATTTCTCTTGGGGGTGTTCTCCTTTGTATCACAGGTGGACCATCTATCTCGATTCCTTCGTGTGGTCCTTCCCACTTCTTGCAACCAACATCTTCACAGTGTTTTCTACTCAGATTACATTCGCAACCTCTTTGACTTGGTTTCGCTTTTACCCTCCTTGGCAGGTTCGGAGGCAATGTACGCCGACTTGGGTCATTTTTCAAAAAGGTCTATAAAGGTCTATCTAGCAACCATCAATCACAGCTCCCTCACAGACATGATGATTTGTTGAGAATTGCTCTGCTTCTGATTGTAACATGAGAAGGGAACTTGTTTTGGTGTTTTGGAGTCTCTAAACCGCTGGCAGTGATGCAGACTGCCTTCACATGCATCGTGTATCCTTGCCTAGTGCTCGGGTACATGGGCCAGGCCGCTTATCTATCCAAAAACCTCGCGGATGTTGATCACGGGTTTTTTCATTCCATTCCTGGTGAGATTTTAAGACGATTTCTGAGCAAATATTATTTCATCTTGTCGCACTTTCCTAGTTTCATTACAATTCTAGATTTCAGGTTGGGTTCAGCTGGCTCAGAGAACGAATTCATCCTCATTCCATGGAGTTTGAATGCTTTGTGCAGGACCTGTATTCTGGCCTGTCTTCATCGTAGGTATTTCTTCTCTCTCAACCTGAGTCTTTTGCATGATTTTCTTCTCATGTTTGCTGATATGACGTATAAGCCTTCTCCATTCTCCATGTTTTATACGTTGGCTGACATCAATCGCAGCGATGTTGGTGTCGATCGTTGGGAGCCAAGGCGCCGTTACTGCGACGTTCTCCATAATCAAGCAGTGCCAGTCACTAGGATTTGTCCCTTGGGTGAAAGTGGTGCACACATCACGTACAATCCATGGACAGATTTACATTCCAGAAATCAACTGGATCATGTTTGTCATAAGCTTGAGTATCACAGTCGGGTTCCAAAGCCCAGTTGAAATCGGCAACGCTTACGGTAAGCTTGCACGCAAAACTAATGAGCTCACTAGCCTTTCACTCAGCATCTCTCCTCATCTTGGAATGCTTTGCAATAGTTCAGAAGCATCTGCTTCTTGTCTCAGTTACTTACATAGAAGTGCTTTCTCTGGTTGATTGTGGCTGCAGGTATTTCGGTGATTTGCGTGATGCTGGCCACAACTCTTTTGATGACCTTTGTCATATACGTTGTGTGGCAGCATAGCATCTTCACGGCCGGTATCTTCTTCCTGGTTTTCACCTTGGTTGAGGCAGTCTACTTGTCGTCGGCACTCTTCAAAGTGAAGCAGGGAGGTTGGGTGGCGCTGGTGCTGGCCGGGGTGATCATGTCCATCATGTATGTGTGGCACTACGGCACCATCAAGAACTACGAATTCGACCTCCAGAATAAGGTGTCCATGAAATGGTTGCTCACTCTCGGTCCAGGCCTTGGGATTGTCCGTGTTCCTGGCATCGGGCTGATCTACACAGAGCTTCTTACCGGTGTGCCGGCCATCTTCTCTCACTTTGTCACTAATCTCCCAGCCTTCCACCAAATTCTGGTTTTCGTTTGCATAAAGTCTGCGCCGGTTCCCTTTGTCCCTCCCGACGAGCGCTACCTGGTTGGGCGCGTCGGTTGTAGAGATTATCGTATGTACAGGTGAAACACTCGCCCATTCTTTGTCGTTTCTTATTCTCAACCCACGACTCAAGCTTGTCAACCCAAGACACCCAGTTATACAATACCCTCACCTGATGCTTAGAACTAACAGCAACTGTGTCCTTTGTTAGGAACATGCAAAAAGCTCTTTCTAAAACGAAGATTAACCGTTTCTACTGGTGGCAGATACGTGGTTCGGTCTGGATACAAGGACACATACACAAACGACGAAAGCGAGTTTGAAAGCCAGCTCATCTACAACCTTGCTGAGTTCATCCGAACCGAGAGTGCAGCCCCATGGGCGCAATCCAGGGGTGAAATGCCACAGGACAGCCGCATGACAGTCATGGGTGCTCTAGGCAGCACGCGATCAGTCGCAGAGACCGCCTGGAGCACAGACATGCCAGCCAACGCTGCGGACAGCTTGGAGGTAAGCAACCATAGTCAAAGTGTGTCAATTCCATGCAACCCGAAATTCTACCCTAAACCATGCAACCAAACTAACACTAGCATACTAATCACCGTCGTAGATTCTGATCACCATGGTCGGATGCAGTCCTCAGACGGCATCACCTCGCCGAAAAGGCATGTGCACTTCAACCTGCCCAAGCCCAGCGACAACCACGTGAATGCTGAGGTGCGGAAGGAGCTAGCAGACCTGGCTGATGCCAAGGAGGCCGGCATCGCGTATGTGATGGGCCATTCTTACGTGAGGGCTAAGCCTTCGTCCTCGTGGCTGAAGAAGTTCGCCATCAATTTTGTCTACAGCTTTCTGCGCAGGAACTGTCGGGAGCCCGCGGTGGCGCTGAACATCCCGCACACAAGCCTCATTCAGGTTGGCATGGTTTACTATGTGTAAAATGAATGAACACACACACACACGTATATGTATATATATATATATATATATATATTCATACACACACATACAGTCGATCAATCAAACAATCAAACGACCCAGTTCACGGCAATCTGAGCAGCAATTTCTAGGGCAAGAGTCCGGCTACCGACACAGTCGGTGTGAAGCAGCTCCGAAGGACATCATGTATTGTTGTGATATGAAAATGAATGTTAAGTTTTGGAGCATTTCGTGGAGAATGCTTTTCTTGCTCTGCAAGTATGGTGGGATCGTGCCAATGGCCATGTTGTGTAGTTGATGAAATGTTTGTTCAGTTCTGCAAAAGTAGATATTTGGGTAACAATTTGAGTGTTCTGTTCATAGATTATGCTAGTGTATGGAAACAAACTTAATGCTCTGATTTTCTAAACAAATAAAAAAATTAATTTTTAATATTTGGATTCTTTCAGACCTCAGGAACGAAATTCTATAAATTCGAATTGTCACAGTTGTTGTAATATATATATATATATATATATATATATATGTATATTTATATTTATATTAATTCACTTAATTAGAAATTAGAAATATGTACTCTTTGGTTTTTTAAAAGTATGTTTTCTCTCGAAATGATTGAAGTCTTTTGCAGCAAATTGATTATTACATTATCAAAAATAGAACAAATATTCCAAAAAACTTGTGTTGAAAAAAAAAAGAAAAAAGAAAAAAAAAGATCGTTACCAATCAATTCAAAAACATCAATAAAATTTCATATTTTACCCGAGAAATACTCAATTAAGATAAATGTGAAGAGTTTTTTTTAACTTTTTGATTATTATTCAAGTTAATGTAAATTGTATTTAAGCCAAAAAAACAGATAAAAAGAGAGAAAGCAAAAAGTAAAACACATTATCTGTTGTGTACATTAAGCAACATTGACAACCCATTTCTTAAGAAGTTTTGTGAACCTCTTTTTAAAATATAGATTAGACTGTTATTTCATATCCATTGCACCAATTACTTTGATAAAAAGTTTTAAAAGAAGGATTTGTTTTTTTTTTAAAGTTGGTCAGAATATGCATTTTTGGAGTTTTCAACAATCTTTTGAGTGGCATTGATTTGATTAGTCCGTGACATTTCCAATCTTTTATCCCAAGTTGGCCAATAATCTTCTACTTTTGACTCTTTACTTCCTAAATCCGTAAACTCTTTTGGGTTGTTCCACAATAGAGGATTGTATCCGGGAAATGAAGGAAGAGGACTTGGTGGAAGGTTTAATTTTCCCTTATTCATTGTTTCTACCAAACAATCTTCTATGTATTTTAGTTCTCTTAATTGTAACCTATAGCATTTATAGAGCCAATCAGTTTTGTTAATCACAAATTTATAAGAAACAACTATGCATTTTAATGAAAATGGAGCTAAGAATGTTTTTAAATGCATAGCCTCTAATTGTTCTTTGTATGGTTGTTTTAAAAGTGGGTAAAAAGATGAGGGTTGAAGAACTAATTTTTGTTGCTGTCGTAGAGAATTGTAACCAGATGTTCGGAGATTTTGGCCCTCCATATCACAATTTCGAATTGAGTTTTATCTTTTTTATGAGTTATAATTTTTTTAGAATTAAATCGCTTTTGAAAATATTAAATGATGAATATATCAAGGGTAAAAAATATGTAAGTTTCACAAAGCTTGTAGATAAATACAAATAAGATGATGTGATTGAAAATAAATCAAGGTTTGTTAATAGAAAAACATAAATAAATAAAATAGCTACCATTTGTAGAACTTTGTTGAGTAATAAAAAAATTATTTAATCCACATCAAATCTTTAAAATATTACAATTGATAATATTAAGCTTGGATATTCTTAATCTTTTATAAATACAAATTGAACTCGAGTAAAACTTTAAAAATTAAAACATGAGTAAAATTATCAATATACACATTGAATGGCCTAACACTTGAATGGCAAAAGAAATGTTTAATCATATGTATTGATAGTTATAGAACACTTTGGCTAGGGACACGTCTCTTCATAATAAGCACTTCAATAACTCGTGTAAGTTTCCAATAAACTAACCAATTTTTTAAAGACAATCAAAATCTGGCTAAACAAAGCCTTTATTTGATTGACGAGGACAATGGAAATATGGGGCTGGGGCACTGACACTTTAAGCACAATTGCCGCACCCCAGAATGAAAATAATTATATATATATATATATTCAGTGAAAAAGGGTTTATCGGTACTTTCAATTTTTGAACAAAGACCTTTCTAAATGAAATGCATCCAATTACAAATAAATAAATAAAATTTAATGTTTACAAAATTAGAAGTAACATCAGAGTTGTATGATATGAAAAATAACATTAAATATGAAATTCTTAGTAACGCATAAAAACATATGTAAAATTTGAGGATACAGATTATAATATATCTTGTTATATAAATTACACCATTACTTTTGGTAAAAGATATGAAATCAAAAACAACATTACAGTCAGAAATTAACTGTCCCTGAATAAAACCCCTCCAATTTTTTCATTCATACAATATTCATTTAATTATATTTTTTCAAGTTTTTCAAGAATTCAGTAATTCAAATTTTCATTACAGTACCTTCAATTTTTGTTCAGTTTCCACTACTATCTCTTATGAAAGAAAGTTGTGTTGATTCTAGACTGCATCATATATTTGTTTTCTTGACAATTTCAAATTCGCCTGTATAAATGCGAATTGGATGACTTTTTTTTTTTTTTTTTTTCATGATATGATAATAAATCTTATCAAATATTAAATTTTTTGACTAGAATAAGTTAAGCTGCAAATTTCTTAATTAGAAATTATTAAACTAACATTCACAATAGAATTTGGTACTTTGAGAAATGAATATCATTGGTTTTTTTTTTTTTTTATCTCAAAACAATAATTAAATAGCATGGATGTTTTAGAATCGGATATAACTACATAAACTATATAATCTTTTACTTATGTATCAAAGACCAAACCTGTAATGAAGATTCTTGAGAGAGTAATCAGATATCATTGTTAACATGTAGGACATAATTTCTGTGGTTACTGGACTCATTCGCAACTTGAACATGGTGAAGCAAATTCGACAGGGCCACTTCAAGCAAGTGAAGGTTTCTGAGAAGGTGCAGAATATGCAGATGCTGGTGAATAATTGTCACAACCTTGGGATCATTAGAAAGCAAATGGTTAAGAACATTGCGGGGTAGCAACCCACTGTCGAAGAAAATGAATCCCAATGATCAAATTTATGAAGAAACCCAATTTCACCCGTCCACCACCTTCTGGTGCCTTTCATACACATTCTACACTGATCAAGTAACCATAACACAATTCCCAAAAAAACACAAAAAGAACTTAGTAATCACAATTCAATAAAACCAGAAAGGGAGGGAGATAGGGTGAGCACGAGAGAGAGAGAGAGAGAGAGAGAGAGAGACACAAAGGAGATGAAGAAGACGAAGAAGAATCATCAATGCACCACTATAAGCAAGTTCATGGACAACATTTTCAGAGACGCACTTAATCCTCTTCTGCAGCTTACTCATCTTGTTGCTCAAGAAGCCCTTTTTAAATACCACAAAGTAGAAATCACACAAGAATAGCAGTGCATAACATTACCACTCAAAGCGGTCGCATTTACATATGAAGACAAACGGATACATGATCTTGACTGCAGTAAGATGCTTCTGATTACGAAGTTGAAGGCATCGAATGGACACTTGGGAGAGAGCACCCACATCCACGCAAATCAAGCAGAGGTCATTTGAGCGGCTTCCAATTTAAACGTCACCAATTGCGGACATATTCTTAGGTTCGGCGCTACCAATCGCACCGTCAACATAACATATTATCCAGCGAAAGCATGAGCCAGTCGTGTCTATTCAGTATGAGTTTTGGAAGTTTGTGGGTAGTGGAGCTTGATCATTTTTTAGGATTTGCTCCCTTAGTTTTTGCAGTGATTCAAAGTGTGGGGTACAAAGTTATCCCAGTGTGGCTTTATTGCGGCGCGTAACTTCAACTATATATAACCTTGTGTCATCTAATAAAATTTAGGTCAATGTGTACATATTAGCAACAGGTTTGCAGGTAACTCTATGTTCTATCCTTATCTATCTCTCTCTCTCTCTCTCTCTCTCTCTTCCGACATGTGTGCTCACATAAAAATTGAGAATGTAGATCATAGCAAGTGAATAATCGGGTGTTACTGCCTTCAGTTTTCATGTATTGATGGGATTCAGCTGTGTTCCATGTATTGCAGTCTGTTCCTTGATATTCCAGACACTGGAGTGGAAGTAGACAGTGTCTAAAGCTTTTGGTTCTGTAACATTTGATTATTGAATATTGATTAAAATAGAGTACATCATAGTGACAAGTTTGCTACGTGACATTCTATGTAATGAATCATTTTCGCAGTGGTTTCAAGCCACATTAAAAGTTGTTGGATTGTTTGAACTTCTAAAATGTTGAGAATTTAATAATCTATTCGCCATTGTTGCTGCTTGTGATGAGACAGCAAACTCTAATGGCAGTTTGTGCTTTCACTTGAATTCAGGGGAAATCACCAAGTTTGTCACATTATTCAGCCAGAAAGCATTGTACTCCAACTCCACCTGTACGCAACCACTTTAAAATAGGCTGGCAAGTGGTACATTTCATTTGCTTGAAGTGATGAGTGCGATTCATAATGCAAACAAGTACTCATGCTCCTCAACTGTGAGTACAAATAACCAGAGGAAGTATACATTGGTAAAGTCATTTAACGAAAAAGATATCACAACCGCAACATAGAAGAGATGAAAGCTTGAACCTCAGAAGCTGTGTGAGAAAGGGAGCGACCTTGCAGTGTCCAAGTGAGTAGTCCTTCACAAGTACGAAGGAACCATAATTTGTGCTAAATATAACAACTACCAGAGTTTAAGCTCCAAACCATCCTTCTGTAGGAATCCAAACAACCCATTCCAGATTATTATTATTGAAAAAAGGTGCAAAAGAAACACATATAACAAGTATGTATTTTAGATCTCAATAGTTTTTGTCACAACTAGACACCAGATCCAAAAATCTGTGTGCATTGAATACATAAGTTCCAACTAGTACATGAATCCATTACTGGATATTACAGAATCATTTCAATATCAGCTAATTCACATGTTTTTGCTCTCAGCCACACTAGTACAACGACAAATGCAGACACCACCTAAGAACAGTTCCACGGATGAACGTATAGTACCTCAAAAAATATATCTCACTTTACAAAATCAAAAATGATAATCTCTCATATCTAATAGGGGAATTACACATTCGATTAAATGAATTATATATATATATATATATATATAGCAACGCACATTAGAGAAGACTGCCCACACCTTAGCATGGACTCAAGCATCGATAGGGTAAATTATGAAGTCCAAGTAAG